GTCTAGCCCCATTGAGATGCCCTGCCAACAATTTGAGTGTCCCTGTGGTATGCTATCACACCTCACACCAACACCCAACTCGCAGCCCAGACTGCGAGGCACAGCCTGCGCCTGCGCTGTGCCTCAGCGCAGGGGTTTTTGAAAATCTGGTGACTGCGCCTTTTTGCAGCGCAGTGGATGTGTCACTGCTGCATATGTTCACCAATGTAAAATTGAAAAAATGGGCTTTCCATCCGCCAAAAGAACAAACTTTTTACCCACTGCGCTGCGCTGGAGTGCACCACAGGGGCCTCGAAGATTTTGGGTCACTGCGCCCCAGCGCTGCGCAGTGGGTTTTGGAATTTTTGATTTTTTTGGCACAGCGCCGTTTCGTGCATTCTGTGCTGTAATGCACTGACAACAGGTGTTGATCACATGTCTCAAAAACTCTGTGCCATCTCACTGTTCCTCATCTCACATTTTTGGTCACACAATCAATCTGAATTTCCATCTCTCTCATCTATGGGCAAGTTGGGTTGTGTTTTCTTGGTGATTATAGCAATCATGTCACCAAGAGATAAATTCCGTCCCGGTCATGAAAGGAGATCAAAAACTACTTTACATAATTATAAAATCTTGAATAAAATCCTCTTTGTACTCAGCAACATCTCTCCAACACCCTCAGGGCTCCAACATCATCATCATCAGCCAACACCAGTGTGGCTCAGCTCTTTGATTGGACTAACCCTTCATCTCACACTCAGCTCATCAAGTGAAGCATGTAATCATGTCATAGTCCATCAAATTCAAGGCATCATCCAAATGGTCAAATTCATATGATTCAAATTCATGAAATCGTTTCAAGAAAATCATTTGAATTGTTTCAAGGACTTCAAATAAATCCACTTGCTTTGCTCAATCTGATAGATTTGATCAACAAATCAAGACCAAGTTCAAGTTCAATAGAAGCACAAAGTTTGAAAGATGCTTGCATGCAATTTGTGATTCTGACTATATTCACTAGGGCATGCTCTGCACAAAACAGAATCACAGGGACTGTGACCCTTACTCTCTTTGACTACAACCAAGATACGTACATGTGAGGAATTGGTATGCCTCAAGCCTGTGTGGCGGCTGGGTACCAATTGCCTAGTACCTGATATAAAAAAATGACTCCCCATATCAGGTTGGACAAACCAATATGGAGAAATCCAACTTTTGGTCTTGGATTGGCAATACAATAGTGATACAACACAGACTTTTGTGTTGGATTGGTTCAGGTGTTGGTTTCCCTGAACATATGTTAGGTTACAGAAGATCACACATCTTTAGGACAAGTTAGTGGAACCCACAACAACAATTTTTAGATCAAATTAAAAGCAAAAAAATGGTAGAGCTGCAGGTCATGTAAATGGTTATCTGTTTTGATTGAATTGAAAATCCTCCCTTTTGATTGATTAGGGAGTAGCTGTCCAGTGTCATTGAATTGAAAATACGTGAAAATAATTCAAACTACAATTTTACAAAGATCAACTTTACCCAATCCCCAATATATGGTCATTGCATTAATTTGTACTTTAAAAGTAGGTTTTTGGATAATGGAGCATGTCTTACCTCTATGTCATCCACTGTTGGTGGATGCACACATCCAAAGTTTCACCCCATAAGTAAAAATATCATGCTCCTGCATCTTGTAATGGAGGTCAAATTATGCCTACTTATGCACTTGTGTTTCATAAAAATCTCAGTTCTGGTTCTTGAATCTCTGATCATCCAGGAGCTGAAGCTAAAAAAATGGGTGCACAGTACATCACTTGTGTCAAAAATTTATGCGGAGGTACAAGTTAAGTATCCTAGGAACTAGGAGATGTGTGATTAAAATTCAGATGTGTACCTGGCATCTATTATCTTTGCTAGCTTTTTTCTTTGTCAACTTCACATTCACAATCAACTTTTACCAATCAAATGGATCAAACTGATGCTCTCACCCTTTGGTCTGACTTTCAGAACAGCCGGCCTGTTGAACTACTTTCACATTCATAAAAATTGCAATCTTGATTCAAATTTTTCTCTCACTCGTGCTCAGATATATAATAGCAACAGAAATTCAATATCTTTTCATTGTCTGTTTTTGCTTCTATCAAGCAGACCAGATGGATTGAGGGAGCTCTGGAGTCTCCCACATCAATATCATATGACTGATCAAAGCCTATATAGGTAGATAGATAACTCACAAGCACTTGTACACAGTTAGGGGATACAATCTAGAGACTGTTCATACTGGTAGTCCCAATCAAGGCATATATGTTCGGTTTGAATGATGGGCAAGGAGATTGATAGACCCCCTAGCTCAAGATATCCCGATGCAATGATGTATGTATCAGCTTTGAGTCCAAAGAGTGACCACCTGTTAGTTGGTCATTATCTCACATGTAATGTTATCAAATAGTTCTTGGTTATGTATGCTCATCCTGCGTGATGTTTTCTCTGTTGTCATGTTTCTCTTTCTTTTCTCATGTTACTGTCGTGTCTGACCATCCTGCGTGATGAGCCATCTCTACCTATTTGATATGTTTACATGCTTGATGTTTAACTCTTGTATCTCATCAGTGTTATTTCTCTACTACTTATAGTCTATGAGTCTACACTAAAGTTAGAACTTCATCTATTCAAAGTTCTTTCTTTCTGTGATCACAAACTAATCTGACGTTTGTAATCTGTGTATGACTCATAGGTACGTCTTTCACTTCTTCATTCTATTTTTTCTATATTTCTCTTGATTATACTTGTTAGTAAATATTGCGAAATATTAAATCATCTATTCGAAGTTCTTTCTTTCTGTGATCACAAACTAATCTGACGTTTGTAATCTGTGTATGACTCATAGGTTATGAGCCTTTTACCCGAGTAAACACACGAGTTTGCATATACGTCTTACCCCAAAATTTGGATTTCCTTCTTTTGTGTTACTGTTCACATTGAATCACATGGCTTCTTCGCCTATCACTTCAACTTTGCCCATTGGTTCTCCCTCCAACTCGACTTTTGTTGACTCGAACAACCAATCTACTTCGGATTCTCATTCAAGGTCCTCCTCATCTCACACCACTATCCCAGACTTTTCCTCCATCATGACTTCTCCGGTGGTCTCCTCAACGACAGATGACCGTATCAAGATTCCTGAGCTCCGTGATGGTATCTTCCCCTTTTGGAATAAAAGATTGCACTTTGCACTTCAAACTCGTGGTCTCCTGGGTTTCTTAACAAACGACACTCCGCCAACCGATCCAAATCAACTGGCCATCTATCGACGCAATCAAGGCCGTGTAATGGAGTTGATGGTTAATTCCTTGGACGCCACGAACAATGCTCTTATTCAAATCACGGACACTCCGAAGATGGCTTACGAAACTTTAGCCAAAGCTCATGGTAGCAGTGGTGGTGTCTTAGCGGCTGCTACTATATGCGAAATAGCAACTGCTCGCCTCGAATCAGGTCAATCTTTATCTGATTTCATTACCAAGATTTGTACTTTGCACAATCAGTTGGCTCAGTATGCTACAGAAGACAAAGAGATTGCTTTATCGTCTAAACTATTAGCGATTTCTCTCTTGAATGGTTTGGGAAAGGAATTCAATTTCATCACGGCTCCTTTCTTCGCTGATTTATCAAAACTCACTGTCCAGTCGGTTATGGACCGTTTGGTGATGGAATGCGCGAAGCAATCCTCGTCCGGAACCGCGGCTTCTTTGACTGCAACAGCCTTTACCGCCAAAACCAATCAATCCAATCCTTCAGCCAACAATCAACGTCGTATCGGATCTGGACCAAATGACTTATGTAACTTACCGAATCATCGTGGTTTGCCTCACACGAACAGAAACTGTCATGCTCAAAATGGCAAATCACGAGCTAGGCCCACCTCGTCGAACGTCAACCAATCTTCCACTGGTTCTGCAACTCTATCAGATGCCGAGATGGCGAAACGCTACCTAGCCATTGAGGCTGCTCATGCCGCGAAGAAGACACCATCTGTACCAGCTTTTAACGTTACGACCTCAAACCAATTCAGTGCACAGTGTTCGCGAAAAATGCGCCCGGCGCCCGGTGAGCTTCTTTTCAAGCAATTCTCCGTCATTTGTGCAGTATTTCTCCGCGCGTACTCAATAATTCAGCGCAGTACCAAGTCGCTCAGTGAGCCATGATCCACTCAAGCATTGCTCCTGAGCTCAACGTTCCTAAGCCGTTGAGTGCTTTACATAACCTACCGCTCTGTCAAGTCCGACAGTCACATTTGACTGTCAAGTTAATTTTGTATCCCGGTCGTGGCGTCAAACCTTGACGCTGAGGCGGGACGATGTCAAAGTCGTCCATCTCGATTTTTGTTTGGTGACGGAAAGAAACGGCAGGCGCCGTATGTACATGTAAAAAGGGACATGCCGCACTGTGTCCTTTGAGTACTTCGCAGAAGTTCGCATACAACTGTACAATTCTTACGATATGACTCTACGTCTCTCTCTGTCTCTCTACGTACTTGATCACACCGAGGCCACCCTTCAATTCCCTTTTGTCCACCATCCAATGGTTGACTCCATTCATCGAATTCAAAGTCAACAATCATTCAAGTTTCGCAGTTTCTTAACCGTTCATCTAATCTATAGCGTGTCTTTTGATGTTTCCTTGTACCCCGTTCATCAAGACAATCGGCTCTTTTTTGCCGATGTTCCCAAAGTTTTTCACTTCAACTACTGGCCCTCGATTGTAAGTGTTTCGTATTTAAAACCCATGAATAATCCTCACTCTGCTCCATCCAGGCTCCACTGAAAGTGACAACATCTCAACCAATCCCAATTCCTTCATCCAGCGTGCTGAGGTCCTTCTTAATAAATACGGTATTTCAATCCTCTTCTCCCAAACTCTATCTCTTTCAATCTGAGTCTTTGCCGATTCTGATCTATATTTTTTCTAATCCGGAATTATGTCAATCTCATTTATCCTAGTCCCACTAGCTCAACATCGGCATGACCATCAACATCTATGGAAACATCACTGTTGCAGGAAACTCTTCTATCACCACTAATCACTCTAGCCGATCTAGCCGAAGTCGTCCAGCGAGACCCCAAAGTGTCACTCAGCCAAGAAGGAATAACCGTCGCCGACATAATTCAATTGCTGTAGAAAATCTCGTCATCGAAGATCACGTACAACATCACGACATAGACAATCATGCCGGCAATCATCACGCCAGAGAACGTCTTTTGATAGAAGCACCACGTCGTCAACGCGATCAGTCAGTCGTTATAGCTCCACCACCAAGACGGAATGCTCCCCTTCCCCGGCGTCGTTCCTCAAGAATTGCTCGACGTGCCCTTCTCAACGCACGAATGTACCCGCGAAGACGACGTCCAATTCCAGCCGCCCATGAAGATCATGACTTCTGGACCAAGATATGGACCTTACCAGTAAATCTTCTCCTCTACCTCTCGCCTGGATGGCACCCAGTCTGGACCACTCGAGATCTCCTTCGACAAATCATCTGGCACTTCAAGCCAAACCAACGCATCCCGTGTAGAACTCTCAAAGCAGATTTGATCGAATTGTTTGAAGTTCATGTTGTCCAACGCTATGGAGCATACTATGGAATCTAACAGGTTCGCACTATCTTCACGTTCACCTATTTCTACAGCTTACTGACAATCTCTGGTCCTTCTAGATCTAAATGATTTATTTTGTTCTGTTCAGTCTTTGTTGTCTCTATCTCTCCGTATAAGTCAAGTGTGTATGAGTGATAAATAAACGATGTCCGCTCCCACTCACATTTTCCATGTATATATTGGCCCAATCGATTCATTTTCTTTACATTGGTTGTCTCTCACTTGCTCGTATCTATCATACACGTATATATTTTTGCTCAATCAAATCAGTTTGCTTCACATGCTCTCTATGACTATAGAAACAGGGTTACCACGTTCTCACTTACATTTTCCATGTATATATTTCGGCCCAATCATTTCATTTTCTTTATATTGGTTGTCTCTCACTAGCTCGTATCTATCTTACACGTATATATTTCCTCAATCAAATTACTTTGCTTCACTGCTCTCTATGACTATAGAAACAAGGTTACCACGTTCTCTGCTTTAGAGTTGACAACTCTTCAAGGAAAGTGTGCTCCTTGCTGAGGTCGTGTGAAACACCTGGGTATCTGACTGAACATGTGAAAGGTGTGAGAGTTGAGCAAGTAAAAGAGCCAGAAATTCTCTCCTGGAATTGCGTTGAAATAGCTGACCATCTGGCTGGAGTATATGAGAGTTGAGCAAGTAAGACAAACACTCCATCGTGCATGTTATATTGGAGTCACGTGATGGTCATTTAGAGACTTCACCAATATTCCAGCGAGCTCGATTTAGAAAACATCAAAAACTTGTTCTGGTGCCTTTAGATTCTCTATACATCCATCGCTCTGGAACCGATTGACATCAAGCGTGTGAAATGAAGACACCGCACATATGCTGCTGTGAAGAGCTTGGATGCGGCTCTGAAAGCTTTCAGCTCGATGGAAGCTTTCACCGAGGCAAAGCTAGAAACCAGCAGAACGGCGCCATCCACGAAGCCAAACTGCGAAGACTCCGCTTAACACGCGCAACCGAGAACCAATCTACTCCTTCGCAAACTCTTGGGGTCTCTAATTCCTATAACTTGTCTATCAACAGGACATCGAATATCGGGGCAAGTACCCCCACGTCTCATCATCTCACTACTTACCTGATTGACGATTTTTTCTACTCCAATAGCGGCGAAGATCTCTGAGTACCGGGGACTTGGATCAGATCAACACGGAATCCTCCAGGGGTCGAAGCCAGGGACCTTTGTCGACATCTTTGCAAGGACGACGAAGTAGCTCGCAAAGGATTCGAGGTACAAATGGAAGCACTACGCTCGGTGATTGTCTGATCGTCTCCACGGCGGCCTATCAGATACCGAAGGGCTATCTTCAGCGACCAGCATGCCTCATTGGAATGCTACAAGTCGCGCATGGTGCGATTCTCAAAGGGGTCAAGCATAGAACAAGCCAGACTGCCCTTCACATGAATAAGCTGCAAATCGAACAAACGACTATAGACGCCAATTATACCGGTCGTGCTTACTGGGAGGACCTACCCTTATCTCTCCCAACGCTGTACACAATGCTGAATCTTGAAATCAAGTTGGAGTCGCAGATTTTGTGTCCGGAATGCTTCACCCTGCATGGTACACCTTTCGAAAAGATTGATGAGACTTACAAGATGAAGTGCGATGCTTTACGATTTCTACGTCAGCCTGATCAACCAAGGGGCACACCAGTCACGCGTCACCAATGCGGCGGAACCCTTTATTCAGATGCTGATCTTAAGCCAATCCGCCAATTTCATTATCACTCCGTCAAGAGTTGGCTGGCTAGGATGATATGTATCCCTGGTTTTGAAGCCGCTCTGGATGCCCCGTTTCAGCATGAGTATGATGGCTCAAACATGCACGATATCTGGGATGGAGAGATGTGGAGGTCTTTTACGCACTGCGGCAAGCCGTTCACTTCTACAAGTGGTAACCTCGTTTTTGGTTTATTTATCGATTGGTTTAATCCTCATGGCCGAGGCTCTCGAAAAACAAAATCCCACGGCATAGTTCTTCTCATATGCTTCAATTTACCACCAGATGTACGATATAAGCAAGAGAATCTCTTTCTCTTTGCAGTCATTCCTGGACCTAACGAACCGGCTGTTGAACAAATGGACGGAGTGTTGAAGCCGCTTGTGGACGAATTCCAAGATCTTTGGAAAGGAATCTTTCTCTCATCGACTCCGGATCATCCCCAAGGCCGTGTGATACATGCAGCACTATGGCCTTTGATAGCAGACATCCCAGCTATGCGAAAGACTGCTGGCTTCGGTTCACATTCGGCAACACACTTCTGCGCCCACTGTGGAATTACTATACACAATCGCGTTGACATCAACCCAGATGAATGGGCCAAAAGAACTGACCATCAAAAACACGCTGAAGACTGGCGCGATGCGCGCACAGAACGGGAACAAGGTAAAATCTTTGACACCTACGGAGTCCGATATACAGCTCTATCTGAGCTTCCTTATTGGCAACCCATCAATTTTGTCACGGTGGATATCATGCATTGTTTACTCCTTGGTGCGCTGAAGGATCATGCCAATAGCTTTTTAGGTCTCGGTGAAGCCGGCAAGAAGCTCAAAGCAAAGCTTGACAGCGAGGCTCATCTTGATATACGTAACCGGCCTAGGACACGAGCTTATACCTCCAGCAATGTCAATGTATGCATTTATCTTTTAATGTACCCATTGAATATTTATTTTTTGAATAATACAAAAATTGACCAAATTTATCTCTGTCTTAGTCTGCAACTTCGCACGCAAATGCTTTTGAAACCGCCAGCTCAGAGCCCAGTCAAATGGATGTAGATAATACCAGCGAAAAAGATGGCAGTGCCTCCATGGACTGGTCAAGAAGTAACGATATCGAGGATTCTCAAACTCCAAAGTCTCGTCAGACGTCGTATTTTGGAAGTTCAAGTGCTTGTGGAAGTTTCACTTTTCAAATATCTTCTTCGTCTTCAAGTTATGTATCTCAGCAGCAACCATTGCCAGCCAACGTACCCAAGAAACGCGGCAGACCTCCTGGCAAAAATACAAAGAATAAAAGATCCAAAAGCGACACGACCTTCGGCAACCCTGTCTCCAACTTGGCAGAACCTGGTGAACAATTGTCGTTGCCGGGCGGACCTATTAAGTTTCATTCGATTTCTGAGGAGCCCGAACATCATCCCATGTTACCCGGCGAGCCAGTTCAGCTTGCATCTTCTGAAGTACCCCCTTTACAGCCCTCTCACTTACGGCGCTCCAATCGACTTCGATCTCAAAGTGATGCAAAGGTATCAGCCTCTGATGTTGTTGAAATACCGGCGAATTCACAACCACAAAAAAGTGGAGGTAGGCTTCGAAGCAATACCAACACCACGCTTCGCCCATCAACCGCGAGCTCAAAATCAAAAGATAAACAAAGAGCCTCAACTGCGGCCTCAAAGCACCAAACTCCAAAAGAGCCTCAAGCTCGGTCCAATACTTCTAATCCGTCACTTACAATGGACGATCTCATTGATATCCGACATGCTATCTCAAATGCAAAAACACCAAGTTGGATGACTCGGCCGCCGATTAAGATTGGAATTCCAAAGTCTGGGGCCCCCAGTGCGATGGAGTGGCTCACATTTTACACTGTTTATATGGTCCTAGTTATTATCCCCAAGCTATACCTCTCAAAAGATACGAACGACCAAGCTCTATGTGAAAGTTTGATCTACATTGTGGAGATTACAAATTGTGCGCTCTCTCGAACGTTCAGCAAAGAAGATAAAGAAGATCTCAAACGATTGATCCTAAGCTACCGCACACATCTGGCTACCTCTTGGACGGGTGTCAGTATCAAACCCAACTTACACTTCTTACAGCATGTGCCCGATATCACTGAGCTTTTTGGACCTCCTTCATACACTGCAACCATGGTTGGTGAGCGTGTGATTGGAATGTTGTGTAAAATTCCAAAAAACCATCACGCAGGTGCGATCTCCTTCATGCTGCCCGATACCTAGATATATATGCTGATGATCGACTCTTGTTTGGATTGATGATCATAGCTGACATAGACAAAACGATGATCCAGACCTACAATCGACGAGGACTATTTAAGGCGGTCTTGAAAGGTTGCCCTACCTTTCTAGGCCGAGTCGATGTTAAAATCAAAGAACAGGTATTAAAAGCCCTCATAGGGACTCCAACAACAAAGTGGTCTGTGGAGACCAACCTAAATCGTGATACATATGGTATTTGGCTAAACTACATGAACACAGGTGTAAGTCAGCGCTATGGAACATTCTCCGACGCCAGTAACCTTTCCAGTAGCAGCCCCTTGCTGCCTACAATGGTTGAAACTACAAAACTACTTAAGGTCCTTGGGAAGAATTACACCTCACAACAGCTTGTTAAAAGTCGGGGTAATAGTGCCATCGAATACCTGATTCAAGGCGAGCACCATTATGGCTACATTCAATATGCCTTTCGTACAAAGCTAGTCCCTACGGTTTTTCTGGTAGTTGACCAATTAGCTAAACTCGACTCAAGTGATTCAATCCACGATTGCTTCCTCTCTCATCCCCGCCTACATGCTTCTATAGTGTATTCAAGGATAGAGCACTGTGTGGTTGTCGATGTTCAAGATCTTATGGGCCATATCATCGTGTTACCCCATCCACCGGGTCACCTTGGTATTGCACAAGAGACGCTGGGTATTGTAGGGCTGCGGAATATTGTAAGTTTTTCACAAATCAGTATTTGTTTGTCTGTGAACAAATCAGCTGACTACTGTATGACAGAGCTCAATGAATGCAGACACGAGTTTAGAACAATGATGAAGTACAGCAAGTTTAAAATAAAATTTGTTCTTATCAATCAAAAACAACACTAAGCGCTAATCTTATCAATCAAAAACAACACTAAGCGCTAATTATCTTTATGTATGTAGTATGTCCATGAATACAATGTGATGTTAAAGAAGTGATGTACGTATTTTTGAAATCAGCAAAGGAAGAACCGCGCTGGCCGGATTTTGAGTCAAAAGCTGTTTCTGGCTCTCTCCGAAGGCTTCCTTCCAAACAGGACAGTAACAGTTTGATGGAAGGTTGCGAGGAGCTTTACCCTTAGATGAGATTTGAATAGCTGGAGATCTTCTCATGTCGAGCCGGCGAGCCCCCCACCTTGCACCATGCTTAGCCTTCTGCTGATTGAAGGAAAGCGTATCAAGCAGATGCAGAAGGTCAGAGTATTCCTGACTCCTCCAAACCATGCCTACAGCACGCGGTTTCCCGGGTCCATCGTCCTCGGTATCTGAGCAACAGCTAGCACGAGGAAGGAGGTTCAAAGCGGCGGGAAGAAGCTCTTTGTCTTCAAGTTCGATAAACTCTTCTAAAGCGTCTTGGCGGTAACGAAAAATCTGAGACGAGATCTCAGTGACCGGAAGAAGCGAATTTCACAAAGAGAGAGGACTCACGGTAGCTCGCCGTTGGTTCTTCATTTTCCTGCGGCGATATTTTTCATCTTGGCTCGTTCTTCCTCGATGCCATCTCTCAATGACAGCTCGGAATATTTCATCAGTGGAATATTTATTATCAACCGAGTATCGATTGAATGCGCCTTGCATCATCGCCCATTTCCAGTGCTTCACTAAGAACGCCAGCATCATCTCGTTCCAAGGCGAGCTCAGCGGTGACTCCCAAGCTAGTGTGGCACGCGGAATGCCAAACAGAGCAAGGTCTTGGATAAAAAATCTCCTGTATGTGATCCAACAGGTGTCTTGTCGTGGTAAGAGAGTGATTGTTTGTTGGGAAGGAGTCGGAGGCGGAAGATCCACACCAAAAACACTTAAATCGGCCATAATAGTTTCCGAGTTAACATTGGGAAGCGAATGGAGCTCCGAAGTGTCTGGACTAGTAGGATATGGTGCACGTGAGCCGAATCTTCCGATCAAAAATTTTGTGTAGTCGGTAATGGCCTGATAAGAGCCCGAGTTCCGTTTAGGTAACCAGAGAGCCACTTCTCTATTTTGTGCTTTCAATGATCTGACTCCAGCCCCTTCTGAAAAGTGCATAGGTTGTTCAAGACACGCTATGATAAAAAGTGGATAATCAGGATGCGCAATAGATATCTGAGTTAATGAAGGATAACTCACGTTTAGAAGGCAGCATAGTTAAAACAGACATCAATATTCGAGCAGTTAATAAGAGCCACAAATGCCTTCGATCACAGTCAAATAATAATATAACGTCTTCGCCAGGAAGAAAGATGAGTTAAGAAATTAAATAACAGTTGAACGTATTAAGAGGCCTTCTCCAGGAAGGTAGATAAATTATCAAGGACAGTAACAGTTCAGTAAAATAAGAGGTCTTCTCCAGGAAGACAGACACACACAGTCAAATTGAACACTGTTTGAAGAAGCAGACAGAGAAACTGGATGCACGTAAGAGTGAGGTTGGGGCAAGGAAATGAAGCGGCTTTCCCCTCGAAAGATCCACAAGATATAAGTACTTTCAAATCCAACACCTGAAAGGTCAATTTGGGAGTTTACGAATCACCTGATCTGAAAGAAAAATAATTGACAAAACAAAGCCAACCACATATGCAAACCCTTTTGTCAGCTAATCAGATAAAGGAAAGAGGCTTGGTGGCATGGTTGGAGTTTGATGCGTCTCTTGTGCTGCTCGTACAAAAGGTCCAAATTCAAAGGGTATCTTGATCTTCTGAAAGAGCACCCTACGTTTCACGGGGGACTAATGATCGTAGAGCTTGGTCTGAAGGTGAGGACTGTCCTTTTCAAGATAGTGCTTTGACATCATCGAAAGCTCTGCAAGATTGTACGATCCTTTTGTCACATATCCACATACAGATCGATAGCAAAGTAGTCTGTACAACTGTGATTTCAAACCTTTTCAATCTTCCCCTCCGGTTCTTGTCAAGCTCCTACTTCCTTCATATCATCTTCACAATCTTATGTCTGGTACATAAGTCATCTTTCACTTTATTTCACTGACCACCTTCATATCCACGTCCCTCACTTCTTGCGCATTCATACACCATCAAGACCTTCACCTCTCGTGCTTGTGCACCCTCGAAACGGAACCAACAATGGCCCAAATAATCCAAAGTGAGTCGTTTGATAGCGTCTTAGTCTCGCAGATGTTCATCTCTCAGCAATGCTTCATCACGTGTAGACACCCAACACAACCAGACTCCTGACGGTATGGATTTGGAACTTTGTCAAGAACCAGCTCCTCATGCACCGCCCCTCTTGAGCCCAATTCCAGCCTTTGTCGATGGTCAGTTTCTTTGAGTATTATTTATCTTTTATATGACTGAATCTGATGGTCGATTACTTCCCAGGTCCAAGCCAAGTACTCCCACTCATACCTCCCATCGTCGATTCTTCTGCTGTGGATCCAAACAGACAGCATCCCAGTTGAGCCACTCTTCATCTTCACGTAACGGGAGTGCCGCGGTGTTCTTTACTTAAACAGCGACCGGAACGTTTGATCTACAGGTGACAGTGATCAACGGGATGAGATTTCGGAGCTCTTTGAAGATCTCGAACAACTTGTTACATCGCCTGGCAATGTTGCCGAAGAAAGCCTTCCACAGCAACCAGCGCTGCCACTCGACGCTATATACAACCCCTCACTTGTCACCCCTGGAGCTCCATCTCTCCCAAGTGCACGACATCGAATCGCCAAGCGACCTTACCATTTATCCACAGATCATCACTCAGCAATCATCTCCTTGTCCAAGCCCGGCTCATATGACGTTAATTTGGACGACATTCATCTGCAAGACATTGTCCCTCGAAAGCGTCCTATAACATCGCATGACGACGAGGAACCCCAGTCTAAGCGATCGCGTCAGCCATCATACTACAGCAATGACCAACAGATGCCTCCCCTTCGATTTGCGATGCCACCTTTCCCTTCTGCCCCAACCATACCTCAAAAACGTCCAAGTTCTCATGCACCACACGAGCTCGAGGAAATGGGCCATAGGCGTTCATGTACACCATCCAATTACACCAGCAGCCGACAGTCGCCAACAACTTGCTCTCCCAAGTTGCTTCAGCCATGTCTTATCTCAAATTCCACGAATACCTCTTCACAGCCACAAGGAAGTTTAATGCAACAGGTGCCTCAAATTGAAAAAGCTTGCGACGATTCTCAAATGCTTACTACAACCAATCATACTATTTACTCGCACAATCTCGACAAGCAAGCTCCAGATCATGCTCAATCCACCCATCCGCACTTACCACATACGACCTATGACGATCCCCCTGCCGAGTTTGATTCACACTTATTCAGTCCAACTCACGTTGTCAATCAGAATCTCACTCATAGTCAAAAAAAGCCCAGTTCATCGTCACGTAATGCCACGTCCAACGAAGACTTTGAACATACTCGCAAGACTCCCGAAACATCACTTGCACATTCTCAAGAATATGTGGGACGAAACAATGAATCTGGTCCTTCGAGTCATATTGAAATCTCCCCCAGCGCCGGTCATGATCCTTCACAAAGACCCAATTCATCAGAGAATCATTCTAGCCCCGGCTCATTGCCACAAGACTCACATCAGGAGTATGCTCGCAATACTCCCAGGCTCCCACGTGCAAATCCGCAAGAAATCAGACCGTCTTATTGGCATGAAGAAGACTCCGTTGGACACCTTCCACCGCGCAACTCTCACTCCAGCAACCCTCCTTCAGCTTTAAGATCGCAACGTCCTTCATCACAGCCACAGGCTAGTGTAGACAATCAGGAGCCTGGTTTTGGATTACATCGCCGAGTGGAACCAGCCCATGCACCAATTCAGCCGGGTATTTCCATAAGCAACCAAACCTATGAATGTTCTCAAATTCATAGTGCGGCTGATTGTACCTACCAGAAACCTCAAGATACGCCAACTGACCATGTCCGCTTACCCGATTCACCACATGCGTGTCACCCTAGCTCTTATAGCTCATACACACCTAACCCAACCTCGACGGGTGGGCAGATTAACTCTAGAAATCAAACTCGCGCCTGCTCTGCACCGCACAATTTCGCATCTAATCCAGGTCCTGAGTATGCCCAATTCTTAGGTTCAAGCGGGAGGGCTTTGACTAATCAAGTTTACACAAATGCTCATATGTTCACTAGCACTCAAACTCGCCCCAGATCGGCACCGCAGGATGTCCGATATGAATCAGCTTCCGAGTACGCTCACAATCAGACCAGAGACTTGCGTGCACAGTCCAAAGAATCACCGAGAAGCAAATCACCCAGCAGAACCTACGATGCTCAGGTCCTGGATAGAACTCAAGCTCGCCCCAGATCATCGTCGAAAGGTGTCCCATCTCGTCCAGCTCCTGTGGATCATTGCAATATCGTCAATCCGTCATTTATACAGCCTCAAGAAGCAACGAGGAAGATATCCAATCTATCTCACCAAGACTATGCGGGCACTTCCCTAAGACCACCTTTGTGGGATCAATTTCAGTTCGATCTTGGGGAAGATCACATCATGAAGTTTGTTTCGCCTTCAGCAACTCCAGATCCCCCTCAATTTTTCAATCCACGCCCTAGAGATGGACCATCACACATCCAGTCGGCCGTATTCCAACAATCTCAAACCCAAGAAGATGCTCTCACATCATTTCCTGACACTCGACCATCTTCTAGGATGTCTATGTGTTCCGCTAAAGATCAGCAAACACACACAAATCAGCAGCACACTCTATCTCAAAGCAGTCGATCCTCAAGGATGTCATACTCTTCAACAAATGAGCAACATATCAATCCTCAACACGCACACGCAGCCACATCGACCACTCGACCATCTTCCAGGATGTCTATGTGTTCCGCTAAAAACCAGCAACATACTCCACTTCAAAGCAGCCGATCTTTGATAAATGAGCAACAACTCAATCCTCAACTCGCACACGCAGCCACATCCTCCACTCGACCATCTTCCAGGATGTCTGTCTGTTCCGCACCAAATCAGCAAAATCAGCAACATAATTCATTTCAAAACAGCCAATCTCCAAGGATATCATACTCTTCAACAAATCAGCAACAACTTAATCCTCAACCCGTACAAGCAGCCACATCCACTTATCAGCACCCACCACTTGCGTTCTCTTCTAGATCTTCACGTGTCAAGCACAGTGACCATTCCTCTGGAAAGAATCAAGACCAACGCCAAAGCTCCTATAACACGGTTCCTGATAACAGCTCCACTGGTCACATCCGGCCCAACAGCTCTCAACCCAACACGCTGCCTGTTTTCAATTCACAATACAAACCTGTATCACACCCGCATGGATATCAAACACATCACCAGCCTGATGTGGTACCTAATCTTACTCACCATTCTCACATTTCCAATCCACGTCACGAGGATCGCACTAGAGCTTACATCTCAAAATCCACTAATCCACCTTACGGACATCCTGAGTTTCCTATCTTCAACTCAGGCTTTGTCAACACTCCTACTGCAGTTTCTCAAATGCATGGCCTATCTTCTACCAAACTGCCTTCCAGGGATCAATTTCGATTTGACTTCGGAGGGAATCCCATCCCTACGTTCGGTGTACCCGTTCAAGTCAAAGACTCACACACTAGTCACGGACAACCACAGACTTCTTGTGACCTCTTTCGACAACCCTCTCGTCGTCCGTCATCCAGGATGTCCATATGTTCCGCGCATAATCAACCACAAAGTCTTCCTCAAAGAGACCATTCATCAAGAATCTCATATGCAGCAGATGACTGTGAACCTGCTCCTCGACCCTCTCCTCGATTTGCTCCTCAACCTGCTCCTCAACCTGCTCCTCAACCCGTTCCTCAACCCTTCAATGACTCGCACCCTAGTCACGGACGATCACAGACCGCTTCTCGTCCGTCTTCCAGGATGTCCATATGTTCCGCGCACAATCAACAACAAAGTCCTCGTCAAAGAGGTCATTCACCAAGAATCTCATATGTAGCAGATGAGCGTGGACCTGCTCCTCAACCCTCCCCTCGATTTGCTCCTCGATCTGTTCCTCCACCTGTTCCCCAATCCATTCGTCAACCTGTTCCTCAAGCCATTCCTCGATCTGCTCCTCGATCTGCTGCCCATCCTCAACATTCTACTCAACCCCCTCCTCGTCAATGTGTACCATCAGGGTCCAATTCTGCATTTTTGGGTGTTGATTCACGTAAGCTCTCCATGTTTTCAGCGAGTGCATTCTACCTTTGCTGATGATCTAAAATTTCAATTCTCCAGGAAGATCCCAATTAGCAGATGAGCGTGGACCTGCTCCTCGACCTGCTCCGCAACCCTCCCCTCGATCTGTTCCTCCACCCGTTCCTCAATCCATTCCTCGATCTGCTGCCCATCCTCAACATTCTACTCAACCCCCTCCTCGTCAATGTGTACCATCAGGGTCCAATTCTGCATTTTTGGGTGTTGATTCACGTAAGCTCTCCATGTTTTCAGCGAGTGCATTCTACCTTTGCTGATGATCTAAAATTTCAATTCTCCAGGAAGATCCCAATATACGGAAGATATACACGAGAACGACAATGATGAGACCGAGAACGAACGACCAGAGGAATACCAAGGAAACCAATACGACGATGACCACAATGTCCAAAACGACGATGACCACAATGTCCAATACGACGATGACCACAATGTCCAATACGACGATGACCACAATGTCCAATACGACGATGACCACAATGTCCAATACGACGATGACCACAATGATCAATACGACGATGACCACAATGTCCAATACGACGATGACCAATACGACGATGACAAAGATACCGAAGAATCTGACTCTGACGGTGTTTTTGATCTCGCCGAAAGTCGCAAGTATAAAAATCATAAATCTGCACGCCAAGCTAAAAAGACAATCGCAAGACATGAAGGAGCCCGCCTGGAGAAGCTTGCAAAAACCCCTATAGAGTGCGATCAGTATGAACGACTTGCCATTGCAATTCAACATTTCAACAACCTACTCCTTGGCATTGTTCGAAAACGTAAAGGCCAAAAGGGCAACCGTTTGCTTCCCTCGCCGCCCTCGGACGAGGAGTATTCTCTTTGGGACCAACGAAAAGTCGAGCGTCGGCGGATAATTGATGCGAGCGTTGAAGAAGCTCGAAAACGCTACCGTCGCAAATACCCATCCCCCCAGCCCGCCCAGCTTGCAAGAGTTGGAGAGCATGCTGCTGAGGAAGCTAGGTCCGGCATTAAACCAGTCAGATTCACCTCCCGTGTAGCGCTCAGGAACTCTGGTGTTCATTATTCAACCACTGTTGCCTCTACTTGCGAGGCCTCATTGGCTCTTTCTGGCTTTCCAAGATTTACTTACGATTGGACTGACTCTTTTAAGTCAAAATGGAATGAAGCGGTCTCTGTAATTATTCTCCAAGAGTGGGAGAAGTGCTACAGGAGGGGAGATGCTGATGATTATAACGTTGATGTCAACCAAGTGAACGCGAAAAACACCAGGCAAGTTCTTGAGCGGTGGTTTCATACCAAGCGTCGCGAATATGTAAGCCAGTCCAGTCAGAAGGAGCATCAAGGGAAGAGAACCCAGCCTGGGGAGCAGGAGACTTCGAAAGAGAGAAGTCGTGGCAGGCAATCGCAAAAGAGGGTCGGTCTTTCCCATTGTGTAATTATGCTACATTCCTGAGTAGGCTGATTGACATCCATCCCGATTCTATAGGTTTGTCAGCTTCGACAAGAAGCTCTCAAGAGGTTTTTCCCAGAAAACCGGGCGCTCCGCAATATCTTGTCAGAAAGAGAAGTTCATTCTGAAGATGAAGTTGATGCCAATGGTAACTCGTACCGAAAACAGAAGCTTTGGAGGCATAGGAACCTTGGCAAATTCCTCCACCAGTTAGACGAGCTACACATCGGAACGCAGCGCACCGACCAAGCTTCCACTTCAGCCGCCAAAGCTCTCCGGCGTGGGCCTTACGCTGCTCCAGAGGATTCAGAGTTTCTTGCACGGCCTCCCAAGGGATTTCCAAAATGTTTGCTTGACGAGGGATTTATGAGGCATCACGTCTCACGAGTTGCTGTCTTGGGCCTTGAACTCTCCACGCAAGAGTATGATTTGGCCCCTTTGCTTCAACGCGCTGAATGGTTACAGCTTACAGACGCATTTTGAATAATAACCAAAACTAGTTGTATATTAATTTTTATTTTTGCTTTTTCCTAATTTAAATGAATGTCTTTATTATATGTCCTTTATCCTGTGTTCTCCGCTAAGAGCCGTAAACACTTGCACAAGATCATGAATCCTCAGTCAAATTCATGACCGAAGAAGTTGAATCAATGTTGATTTTGGTTATGCCAAAGACATCTCAGTTTTCTATTCGTAGTCGACCCAATAATACTTTCAAAACATGTATCTCGAATTGAGTTCGAGATACATTTCAGAATAAAGCTTTCTGCCTCCTCATCTCAATGGCTGATGTCAACAAGCAATTTGCATGTCAATAATCAAGCAATGGATGATAGTGAAGGACACGACGGGTCGCCTCCTTACACCCGTTCCGAGACACTTCACGTTTCACAACCCTAACAAATGATACAACATATTTGTTCATGTACGTCATGATTTGTTTATTCCCCACGCGCCACCCTTTTTGATCAAATGCTAACACATCTATCATAGGGGTTTCTTATACCTATTTGTTTCTTCCGATCGACTATTTCATTGTCAACCTCCAAGGATCGATTATCGTCTACTCAAGCTGCCCACGAATGATCTCAGATTGTACTTGCCGCGGTTTCTTATAAGATCACCTCGGTATTCGTCAAATTGTCAACCGTCAAAATAATTCCTTTCATCCCCACTTTGGTCATAGTCAACCCTTGCTCCCATGCCTTTTAAAATTCACTCTACTGATGCGTGGCCATCACGATCTTTACCGTTATACTTTGACTTTTGTTTCTTTGAACAGAAGCAGATCGTTCTATGAGCCGGTAAGCTATCATGCCCTTCATCCTGATTCTTTCCATCGTCTTCGATACTCTCACCTTCTTGGGAAGCCTTGTGAGAGGTACTTATACTGAACTCTTTGACCTTACTTTCTTCCCAACCCACACATCCTCACTCCCGTTTAGATTTGTCACAACTTTCATTCTCACTCACGTACTCCCCTACACTTGTCTATAATTATCATGAAGCTCGTTCGAATGCGATCAACTGTCTCTTATTTGAAGAATTGTGCTTTTCGGGCCAGAACGTGGCTGTGTAAGTTCACTCATTATGTCCACTCCTTTCTGCTTGCTCATCACTTATCAAAATCTTTCATTGAAAGCTGGCACAGCTCGGCGAATGCACCGCTCTTCCCACTCTTTCAACCCATCTCCATCAACTGGATCACTTGCAGCATCACTTTCTCCCCCGCCTACTCCTATCTCGGCTCCCATCTTGGCTTCCAACTCGGCTCCCATCTTGGCTCCCATCTTGGCTCCCATCTTGGCTTCCAACTCGGCTCCCATCTTGGCTTCCAACTCGGCTCCCATCTTGGCTTCCAACTCGGCTTCCAACTCGGCTTCCAACTCGGCTTCTAGCTCATCCTCGGCCTCAACTCCGGTCAGCCTCATGGACATCGACATCTCATTTATCACTCCAGATGTTGTGCCCTTTTACGAGTTGTACACTGGCCTTTCCACTTCCCTCTCAGTTTCACCTACGTTCTTGGATGGCAAGTCGGCCTCGACCCCAACCGCCAGTCTCATGAGCATTGACACTGCCCCGCTCGTGACTCCTACTTTCCTGCCGTTCCATGCCACCAGCGTCACCTCAAATTCCCCCACGTCCATTCCTCTCGCGCCTCTTGCGTCTTTGGATACCACCAGTAATACGAGCAATGAAAACTCCCAGGTCCCAACTATTGCAACACACCAGACCAATTCCCGAGGAGAGAACGCAATTGAGGCAGCGCGAGAGCTCCATCGTCAATCCCCTACGCCCATGGTTCCAAGGCACCCATCTCCAGTCCTCGTTCGCGGCATCCCTGCCGAGCACACCATCACCGAGCTTGCCTCTCGAACCCCTCGACCTTACGCCCACTCCAATGCTGACTATTTCGTCGTAAAACCGTCTCCTCCACCTACCCCAGTAGCTACGAAACGTTCCTTCTCGGTGTCTATGGATGATAACCATAAAAGTCAGTACATCTCACCTTTTTTGTCACATCAAGCTTTCCAATCTTTTCCTCTTTCTAGTACAACCTTCCAAGCGCCATAGGTCGAAGTCACCAGACATCAAGAAACGGCGTTTCTCTCTCTCTATGGAGGACGAGGACATCGGTACGGATACCTCATAATGTCAATATCACCCAATGAGAGGCCCCCTTTCTAATCTTTTCCTCCTTACAGCTCAACCTTATAAGCGTTTCAAGTTGGGCTTCCCACCTCGTAGCTTATCTTGCCACTTGACGTTCCCGCTCAATACTCGTTCACATATCAGCACGGTTGGACTTCTCGTGGATACGAAGATCGCGTGCTTTGGACGATTGGTCAAGGAGCAATCTTCTCCAAGAGTCGTGGATGAATCGAACGAAGCCTTGAGCAGCGTAGAGTAATGCATTTCTGACGCTCATCAGTTAATTTTTTACTTGAATTTTTCAATTTTTTATGTGTTATCATCCCCTTTCTTGTTCATAGTTGTGTCCCTTCTTATCATCCTCTTTCTTGTACATAGTTTTCACCGTCTTACATACATGTTATACAATCAAGATACACGGATAGTTGTCGGAAGCAGAGGGGCGTGTTAAAATCTTGCCATACTTACCAGCCACAACCGAAAGGCCGGAGGGCTTCGGTACTAAGAACTCTCGAAAAAAGCCTTTGAATCGGAGGGTTCTTACCCTCAGGAAAGCACAGTTTTCCGTGCTCAGTGATTAGGTTGCTTATGCATGCAGCTGGTGCTGAGCGACTCAGTCCTTAAGCCCGCTGCGCCTTCTGGTCATCCTGAGACGATCAGAAACAAAGGTTGGGCCCGCCTTGCTGGGCTCAATCTCACCTGCGCAGCACGGGCGCGTTTTGGGGCAAAACACAAAAATTACGCACTTCTCGCGGAGTTTTGAGCTCACCGGGCGCCTGGCGCATTTTTCGCGAACACTGTGGAAGCTAAGAACACAGAACACACAGCCGTCTGCAGCCTAGCGCTTGAACAAGCCCAGGGATAGATACAAACATCCAAGACAAATTGTGACCGTTTCCAGTAGAAGAAACACAAAACTTCAACATACTCTATTTCTTTGTGTAAAAATATAAAGGATTCCATTAAAATCTTTTATTCACACTTCTTTATTTTCTATCATTTTTATTGTGCTCAAATTATTTCATTTCTAATATCTTAGGCCATTGCCACCTTTAATCATCAGACCGTATGTAAGTGATGTACAGTCAATTTCACAAAGCTTGGAAAGAATTCCGCGCCAATTTGCTCAAGTTCGGCGGGCAAAAGTTTCCAAGCTTTCTGAAATCGACTGTAACTTAGATTCATCAAGTGTCCCCACGTGTGTTTGGAGGGGGCGGAGGCCGCTGGTCTGCTGGCTATGTAGGTAGGCAGCAGGCTCTCGGATTTCTGACGCTTTTCTTGTGATTGGGACATGGTCTTCCTAAGTTCCCCCCCGGTACTGAGCTACCCGGGACTACCCGGGTACGGCTTTGTTTGAAATGTCAACCAATGCGGTTGTTATCACCCAGAGCTATGAGCCGGCCCTGGCCTTGCCCGGTCAAGTCTGCCCAAGGGTTTTCGGGGCAAGGTCAAGGCCAAGACCGGGGCCTCAAGTGCAGCCTGGCAATATTGAGAAAGGCCCCGCTCCAGGGCTACTCGGGGCTGGGGCCGTCAAGAAAAAATTGTAGAGGCATTGCTGAAGGCTTGTTGAGGCAGTTTTCTGGAAAAATTGACATCATCAAGCATCCATCCTAAGCTCTCAAACAGGATTAAAAAGGGCTGGCCCAAGCCAGGGCCTGCCCAGTGCTGCCCAGGGTGTCATGGCCGAGGCCAGGTCTGACCTGGACCCGTGGCCGGCCCTGAAGCTGCAGGGCCGGGTCATGCCCTTATTATCACCAAAGCCCTCTAACTGGCTCCCTGCGAGAAGAATTGGGGCAGTTGACCCGGTACTTTGTTATTTTTTATGCCATGGTATTTCTTGAAAAACCCATCTTTGAACTGTTCAGGTGTAGAGGAACCAAGAAATGAGACTCATGAACCTGTACAACCAATTTTGCAAAAAACAATTGATCTAAAACCCCAACCAGTTGGACCACAGGCTGATTTGAGCCTGATGCACGCCTCATACAGACAGATTTCATGGCTTTACATAACTAGCTATGTACTTAACATCATAGCTAAGTCAGATATACAGCAGGAAAAATCACAAAAAAATCCAAAAGTTTGGTCAAATTGGCAAAAAACCCCAAACTTAACTAAGTCCTCCCTTGCCAACAAAACCCCCAAATTTTTGATTCTTTTGGCAAAAGTGGGTGTCATTGGAACCTCTTGACCAGTTGGACCAGCGCCGGCCCTGGCCAAACCAGTCAGAGAGCTTTGGTGATAACAACTGTAGTACTTACAAAAATCACAAAAAAGCAAAACTCAAAGTACTGGGCCAAGTTCCCCAAAGGGATTTAAATGACATTATGTCCAACACAACTAAAGTGGCTAGCAGTCCGTATGAAGTACCACTACGTGCTAAACAACAACATAAAACAATAATAAAAAATAATGTAAACAGAGACTCTGACGTGTTTTAACACAAAATACCCATAACTAAAAAATTGTAACACAAAACAACAATAAAAATAAAACATGAGACACTTATAAACTAAAATAAGACAAAACCAAACCACTGAATTCCTAATATATGATATAGACCTACTGAAGTAAATATCAAGAGTCTTATATAAATAAGACTAGTGATAAGCTTCATCAACTTTAATCAGCTTCCTGATTAAAAGTAGGTAATACAATTCTTCACTCCCCTCTGGATCCTCTACTTCCCCTAAGTAGAAACCCAATCAAGGCTAGTGACCTCCAACAACTCCAGGCTAGTGACCTTAAGAAGAAATTCAGGCTGGTGACCTTAAGAAAAACCCCAAGTTGGCGACTTTAAGGACAACCAGATTGAACTAACTCACTCTTTGATCTGTTACAATAAGGATTAAAGGAAGGTCCAGGATCCAACCTTCACTTATTATAATAACATTTTATTATCAATAATAAATCTCCTCTTCAGGAGTCAATTAACTGAAGTCTGTCTGGGTTTGTCCAAACAGACTGTCAGTCCTTTTTTTTCTTCCTTTCTTTTTTCTTCTTTACTTCAATTTGTACCTACTACATATTTGAAATAAAGAAGTCAAAATTAAGTAAACCTACCATTTACCATTTAGTGAGCATTGAGTACTCCTACAAAGAGCACCCAACCCTCACACTCTCTCAGAGGGCTACTCAGCCTCCATTGACTTTTCTCTCACAGCTCACGCTTTACCCTCACCACCTCCCCTTGACTCCGATGTCTTTGCCGCGCGCGCCATAAAAAGACGACCAGACATTTTTCAGGTTTACACACCTATCAAAGTTCATCGGTTCAAATACCTCCTCCGTAATCACCCCAATCAACCATTTATGGATTCCATCATCTCAGGGCTAACCAACGGATTCTGGCCGGTGTCAGACAAACCTTCAGATGTCACCGCCAACTATCCAAACCACGTCTCCTCTCAGGAGGATATATTGGTCCTCACAAAAACTCGTGATTCTGAAATAGCTCTCAACCGCTACTCTCCACCGTTCAAACTTCTCCTTCCCAGAATCAAGGTGTTGCCATTATGCTTGGCGACTAATCAAACCTCAGGGAAGGTATGTATGTGTACCAACATGTATGAGTCATTCACACGAAAGCAAAATATGTCGTAAGAGATTAGTGTTTGCTTATAGTGTTGATACGAAGAAGTTTGAAACAGATCATTTATTTCACGGCACAAAAAACATAACAGACACAAGCATGTATACATGAAGAGAGAAATAAAGAGATATGAGAAAAACTACACAGAGAAAAGATGAAACTATCAGCTTACCTATGAGTCATTCACACGAAAGCAAAATATGTCGTAAGAGATTAGTGTTTGCTTATAGTGTTGATACAAAGAAGTTTGAAACAGATGAGGATCAAAACTTCTTCAACTCATAGGTGGCTCTTTATAGGACAGACACACAGACAGCTAAGAGTCAAGAAGAGAAAAAGCGCAGACCAGAATAAAGTGAGAGACAGTAACCAGGAAACATATCAAATAAGAACAGATTTGAAAAGACATGTATAGAGATGAGCAATCATATAAGAAAAGTGTATTTGAGAAAGCAGCACATTTATTTGAAATGAGGATAGAAGAGGAAAGACAACTTTATTCATAGCAAGCAATAACCAATAACCAACAACATGAGCTATGGAAAGCCGTCTCCAAACAGTCTCATTCAATGTGATAACATTAAAATCAAATTGGATACTATAGCTTCTTTCATCCCTTTCCTCCTCTGGCGACACCATTTCAATAAGAAATCCCTGCTTTGGAAGTCTGATGTCGACTGAGCCTTTAGGATTCTACCAGTATGCCCACAATGGCAATACCAGCAAGTCATATTCATCAATAACACATTCCACGCTGACCACTGTGTTAATTTTGGGTGTGCAAGTTCTCCCTACCTGTGGTGTTTGTTTTTCTCAGTTGTTCTTTGGATTGCTTTCTACGAAATGGGAATCACTGAACTCAACGCTTACATGGATGACTCGTGGGGAGTCAGAAACCCTGTTGACATGGTATCTTTCAAAGGCCACATCATACCTCTGAATCAAGCTAAGTTCTTAGAATTATTTGACTTTCTTAACATCCCATGGAATTGGAAGAAGCAAGTCTTTGGAGCCAAGCTGGATGTCATCGGATTCAATATTGATTGTGAAAAAATAATAATTGCTTTACCCAACGACGAATGCCTCGCCCTTGTCCAGGCTTTGCGTACCTTCCTCATCCCACGTTCCCAACCTCTGGTAGCCTGGCAAAGGATCACTGGGTGGGCAAACTGGGCCATCAACATGTTCCCGCTTGGAAGATGGTCGATCCAGTCTTCTTGGGACAAGATCGCCGGGAAAACACTACGAAATGCCCAAGTCCCTCGTAACAAAATGGTTCTCGAAGACCTGTCCTGGTTAGCTGACTCACTCAAGTCTTGGCCGGGAAGAATCATTCTCAACACTGACACCATGTTCTGGAACCTGGAACTAGCAGATCTGACTTTCTTTGTAGACTCCTGCCCTACGGGCATAGGAATCTGGTGCCCAAAACTCCACAAAACTTGGAGTCAAGTCTTACCCCCTCCATCACGAGAGATCTATTGGGCGGAGCTTTGGGCCGTAGTGTCAGCTATCACAATTGCAGCAGAGAAATCAGCCAAACGAGTGGTGGTGTTTTTGGACAACAAAGTGGTCTGCGGATTCTTCAGCTCACACAGACCTATTGACTCAGTCAGACTCTTATTCAGGAACGCCATCAACATCATGCTTACAAAAAACGTTGATGTAAAGGTAAGACATGTCTCAGGGGATAGGAACCGAATTGCGGACGCTCTGTCAAGGCGCCTCACCAATTGTAGGGAACTGAATTCTTTAAGAATCATTAATTCTATCCTCCCCCCAATCAACCCCTCCATAGATGGAGGTATAAAATACACTTCTCCTTTTTTCCACCGCATTAAGTTCAATGCCAAAGATTCCCAGAGCCAAGGCAACCCAGCTTTCTTTCTCTGAAAGAGAAGAATTGAATGAAGAAGACATGAAGCAAAGGCTGGAACCTTCCTCAATTGCAAAATACGAGTCAGGAACTCGGCAATTCATCAAGTCTGTATTCAACAAGACATTGAACTCTGGCCAGACGAAGTCAATCTATCTCATTTTGTTTCATTAGTCTCTAGAGAACTCCAGCCAAGTACTATCAACAAATACTTGACCGGTATCGTTCATTGCCTGCAAGTCCAGTTCCCTTTTGTCATTAAAGCACGGATGTTGCAACGGGTTTGCTATTTGATACAAAGCTGCCAAAAGCTTTTTTTGGACCTGATCAAAAGAGCCAGCCCAATGTCACTCGCAGACGTTCAACTATAGTCAACTCTCTCTAATGGCATACAGTTTGGCGGGCATTTTTCTTATGCATTTAGAGGAATATGCCTTTACAAATCTTGTTTTGGCTGGCAAATCCCATTTTGGCGGAAAAAACCCTGTAAAAACCTATGCATTTAGAGGGATTATGCCCATAAGAGGTATGCCTTTATGGAGAGTTGACTGTATGCGGAAGAACGTTCAACATATCTTTCAACGATCTTCTGTTCAACACAATCGTTGGCTTGGGTTTCTCGGCTTTACATCGGCTGGGAGAACTAACGGATCCAGATGTAGTCAACCTGAGAAATCCAAGAAAGTCCATCAAATGATCATCCTTACTCATTTCAAACTGTGGTGCGATCACCACCTATGTGTAAGGGCTCTGGTGTACCGTAGGTAAGCTCATAGCTTCCTAGGTACTGGTTTTAGAGTGAGAAATAATACTTTAATAATTCGATAGAGAAAAAGGAAACATATCATACACAACTCTTAACATATATATACTCTAACATCTTTATAAAACATCTACACAACCGTTTGTAACATATCTAACACATTTCGTTAACAACCGTATTTGTTATCACAACTAATTTGATAATATTTGATAAAACAAGTTATTTGATAATATTCTTTAACATTTGATAAATCTTTTTACATAATATCTCTTAACCTAAGTCTAACATAACAAAACATTACACTATGTTCTACCATATCACAAAGGCGACCCAAAGTTTCTCGGGAGCAAAGTAGCCATTTGCAACAGATATAATGATCCATACTGCCCAGTCCTAACCCTCCTCACCTATACAATCAACAGGGACAAGCGATTCCCAGCCAGTCCATTGTGGCTGTTACAAGAAAACGGCACTGTCCCTACAAGGTCTTGGTTCATCAACAGACTTGATTCAATCATCCATGGATCGAGATCAGGCCATTCATTACAAGCCGGAGGCGCCACCGCCCTCGCCCAAGCAGGAATCCCAATGGGAACCATCCAATCCATAGGAAGATGGTCCGGTGAAGCTTTCCGCATCTACGTCAGGGGTCATCCAGTCATGAACACATTCGTAACTCAAAAGCATGCACTGTCTACCGGCGCGACGTTGGGGGAGCAAATATCTTTCCTGGCTCCTCCTGTGAGTCCAGTTTCAATCTCATTCAAGATTACACAAATCGTAAAGTGCTGACTTCACAGTTCTATGTTATTCAGGTCAACGCGCTCGCCAAAACTGATAACATTATGCAACTCTCTGGTTCCAAAACCAATTCCAGCCAATTCGGTAAGTAGCTCTGGCTGCTAAGTCACCAAACAGTCGCTGACAGTCTTGTGATAAAACTCTATTAGTCTCTGTGCCGATATCGAGTATTACCGCAAATCAAAGACCTGGGACAGTGTCTCTGCCCCTGTTCTTTCTTCCAGCCAGTAAGGCATTTCCCTATTTCAGGGGCAAGCAAGCTTACACGCTGACATCTGCGGTGTCTCCGCAGATCTCCCTCAAAATATCAATTGCAGGAGTTCTGTTGACCTCATTATCCGACCCTTCTATAGCTGTGCTACCCCATCAACATCTTTACTATACCATCATACGGTCAAATCACTAGCGGGTGGTCAGGGTCGAAGGCTTTTCAACAACAATTCCTCGTTTCACTATTTCATTCATCTCAGCGAAAACCTCAGAATCTATATGATTGTACTGCGTTTTAATCTAGTAAAATTTATTCCAATTTATTTCACAATAACTAAACAGACCCAAACTGAGCCAAAGCCATTCCCGCAAAAGCAAAAAATCAAAACGACGAAAGCAAATTACAACCGTCCAAGGTTTATAGGACCGGCTGTACAAAACTCCATAGATACTACAGGAAAATCTCAGGAGATCAAATCAACTCTCACTTTTTCCTTGATCCAGCCAACCGTCTTTGAAGCATGAAACTGATCAGAATCCTGAGCGCTTGGTAGCCTTAAAATACACACGCATGCCATTGGATTTAAACTTCAAGACAAAGGAAATTGGATTGTTAGTCTACCATATTGATTGAGAGATTGGAGATAGATATATCTGAAAATTAGACGTAAGAGAAGTGTTGTACCATCAATTGAAGGAAGTGATACATGGTCCACTATTGGCAAAACTGTCCGCTTGATTTTTAACATGCTATGTATTCTCTCTTGACTCACCAATGGCAACATGTCCTGTTCGGAAATAGGGAGTGTACAGATAGAAATCATCTGCTCAGCTTCACTTCAGAACAACCTCGCCACTTCACTTCTTGCCTTCTGACTTGCCGAGGTTGTCTATCGCATAGAAGGAACCTGAAATGAGACTCAATTCAGATATTTTCATCAAAAGACTTGACAATATATGAGCATTACCAATTTGATCAAGTATGCTTCCGGGTCCTACAACATCCTCTTTATTTTTTTATCTTTGGTTGGGTTTTTGAGGTTGTGATACACCGCTTGCTATCTTGGGTCTTGGGTCTTGAATGTTTTGTAAGTTGATGTGATGTTGTATGAAAGTGATGTATTTTGCAATGTAGTTTTTCTTTTAAACCTGTATTGTTCGAATGTAATTTTTTTTTAATTTTTTCTCTGAATTTCATTGTCACTCGATCTCAACTTACTTGTCGTTAACTCCGAATCCTCCTCAGCTGAAATCTTTCTATTCCAACTTTCATATCAAACTTAACCAAACACTGAAGTACACCTCTCAAATTGTTCTTTTGGTCGATAGTTGATCCTTTGGCAACCTCTTGCACTCACTCATCCAGGCCTGAAACGTTTGGGCTTGGTCGGACCCTTGCAATCGCGCCCAAGTTTCTTGGATTCTGAGGCCTCACGTGTTGAATTTTCAAAATCGAATCGCCTCACTGATATTCAATTCAATCTTCTTGAAAACTGGAAACCCTCACTGCTCGTTGAAGAACGAGTTTTTAAATCGCCCATACTGTTTCCCGTTTGTTAGGTTGTGGGGCATCTCATCATCGACCTCAGCGCGTTGAATTTAGACCAATAGCTTCACAAATCTCGAAGCAGTCAAAAGTTACGCCCGACGTCATGTCTGATGCTTCGACTTCACAACTTCAACTTCCCGCGCCCCTTGTCGATATCAACTCGATCACCCATCCCACCGAATCTTTACCACGGCCCTTACGGACGCTGAGGCGTAGCTTTGAACTACTCTCAGTCTCTTACTTTGTCTCGATCTATGGTCCAGCTATTGGCTTTCCGGAATTCAGCTTAAGAGTGAGTCGCCTACATGAGGATCATTCGACGTGCGCAATTTTTTTTCCATCTCCTGGTCCCTCGCTAGTGCAATTTTAGCTGTGCCGTTATCGTTCTTCCTGAGCGCTCTGGTTCGTGAGACCGCCATCACGTCCAGCCTGTAAGGACGAGCTCTTCTGCGGCTCACAGGTTGGACTTTGATGAAAAGTTGACACAAAGGTGCCCTTGCATTGATATGTTTGCGCCCCAAAACTGGCGCATACATCCACCTCAAAAATCAGGTTTGGGTCATCAGCTTGGCCTAGCAGTTGTCCTGGAATTACACTGTGTCTACATACAATCAGTCTTCCCCTCAACAACTCATACCTCATGCGAACATTGCTTACCAACTTTTTCTTGCATTTGCCTCTACGTGGGTTTTCAGAAACTGGAAGAGGATCTCGATGGTACCCAGCCAGACTCCTACGTTCCCGGTCTGGCCGCCAGACTTCTAGTCCTTCTCACTGGCGACCGATGTATCAAGTTCGTAATATATGGCAGACAATATGTCTTGATGGCCAATGTAACTGACCATTGATTCACCCTTTCATTGCCTTTCTCCGCAGTGCAAACAATTGGGAAAGTAGATTAAGGAAGGAATACTCAAGACGAGATCCCATCGGAAATCCGCTTGGCACGGAACCGCTGAAAATGAAGCCACGTCATTCGAAAAAAGCCGTTGGTTATGTATACATTGCTGAGTATATATATGATACTCCTGCTACCGCCATCTCCCAATCAGTGGGTGTCGAGGCTCAAAACAGTCTCTCGACACCAATACCGACACAACCGACATCAAGCAAAGCGGTAAATGGCAGTAGTGATAAAAACACCAGACTGGAGGTCGGTTCTTCTATGATTGAGTCGGACGAGGTCACTGCAGTAGGATCAACAACCATAAAGACAATCACCTCCGAACCCATGGCCAGTGCTCCTATTCAATTGGAAGAAGAAAGTAGACTAGATGCCGTTCAAACCCAGACGGACGCAGACACAAGTCCTGTTACCCAATCGGTAGAACAAGCGCCAACTGTTTCCGCAGATCAGCTGCCGCAAATTTCTTCACACAATGATAGCACACCAGCCGAGCTGACTTCAAGTGTCACACAAACACTCGGTAATCAAGATAAGCAGGACGGCAGTCTAGTGGCTCCTAAAGAAATCAGCACCACTTCGAACGCTGTATCTACGATCGACGAGCCTATCCAATTGGTCGCATCTGGCACCAACCCTGACGCTTTGCCATCCCATCTGACTACTAGAGAGGATGATGAACCGATGCATCTCGCCATACCCTGGTCTGAGCTTTCACCACTCATCAAACTTCGAACATTATTCAAGCTGTGTGAATGGAACTTTGAGACTGCTCATGACCTGGATCGATTTCGTCGAATGATCGAAGGGAAAGCTACCGGATTCGCTGGTATCAACGCTTTGAGCAGCACCTCCACTGACCCAGTTGATTCTGGTGATTGGAGACAGGAACGTTGTGGTGCGGACTCAAATTCTTACTCCTACTGGTTTACGGGCCAGGGAATAGATGCTACCCTATGGGTACAAAGACCAGAACCTAAACCCAGAACAAAGATTACCCTTCGTCTCTCATCCAACAAGGGCAAAGCTCGAGGTAAACAAACAAGAGCGTCAAACTCTCGATCCAACAAACGATCACTGGACATGGCCGGTCCTGAGACCGCCCCAGGTCAGACTACAGATTCCAACCCCAGGAAAGGGACGAGTCTCTCCAATAACACACCCAAATCGAAACGACCCCGACTGTCTGGAACACGCACATCCAGTCGCTTGCGCAAGAGCTCAGGAGCAGACGATTGGCAGACAGATCCTCTTGAGCTTGACTCCGCTCGGTCTTCCCATCTCAATTCACCATGTACCTTACCTACTTCTGCACGCCCACCGACCATGATAGTCATCAAAAACGGCGCGCTCCCGACAGGAAAATTCAAGACGCTGGAACGAATTGTGACCGGTACCCGGGCATCACCTAGACGACGGGTAGGAGATGATGATGAATGGCAAGATGTCCCTGAGGGCTGGCTAGACGAGGTTGTGATGAACACAGCGTCTCAGAATACAAAACTCAAAGCTAAGGCTGCAACCCAAAATCAATCTTCCCGTTCACCCAAATCCGCGTCTCAGTCTCACACGCCTCTTAACTCCAAACTCCCACCTATGTCCGGCGCGCCAGCGTCCTCAGTCCTGTCTAGCGAGCTATCGGATGACTTGACTTCAGAGGATGAGGCTCAACCGCCGATCAAAAAGAAGCTTACATCAACTGAAATGACAGAAGCTGATCCACAGTTGAAAGTGGGACCGGATGATGCAGCCCATGTCGACATCGCCTCTACAAAGACTGATGTTGCGGATGTACCTGAGACAATTGAAGTGAATGGCCAACAGCTCAAGGAACCTGAGGTCACAGTGCCCGAACTCGCCCAAGCTGACTCGGATGTGAAGATGGAAACTGAACCGATGCCAATTGCTCATGTTCGCTTCGAGCTGGATACAGCAATGGAAGAATCTAGCACTTTTGCTCCACCAGCAGCAGCCAATGGAGACCAGCCTCCAGAATCGGAAAGTTTACCCACTGAGCCTGTTGGAGTCGAGTCAGATGTTAAGATGGACGATGGTACTATCCAAAACCCGCATATCAAACCGAGCATTGATCAGACTAGCGATGTGACTACGGTGCCTATTGAAAGTGTTGATCTGCACTCTAAAGACCCCGATGCAGTCCCAACCGAGTCCCTGGAAGGCAACTCTACTCCCACAGTGAATTGCACAGAGGAGCTCGCAGAAGAACGTAAGGAAGGAGATACAACGATGCTGAACCCCTCCACTAACCCATCACACGAAACAGAAGTCCAAGTCAAGGCAGATGAAGATGAAAACGATCCCGATCAACTCAAAGGACATCCTCTAGATCCCGACTGGATTGGATGGGAAGTGGTGGGTTTCTTTCTTTCCTGTAGACCTCTTTTACACACTGGCAATAGCCATCTTGGCACCACTGTACTAGGCTCGCTCGAAGGAGCATCTTTAAGAATTGCCGAATTGCTTTGACGTATATTGGTTGACGCTAGTGGCCATGTGTACAGTCGTGTTCAAAACCTGGATAGTCACTTCGAAAGTCCGAGGACATAGACCACTCATTTGATGTTTTACAACTCGTTAGATCAAATGGTACACTGACCATAACTGACCATGTTACCTATCCTCAGGTTTGTTCGAGTTTGAGCGAATGGCAGCAATTTCCTCGACAATTCGAGGGTACTCAGCATCCAGATGAGATAGCATTGATCAACTTTGTCACTGAAGAGGTTCTACCCATCTTGGTAAAAGCACATCAGGTTTGCCATGCTTCATCTAACTGTTTTCTAAGCGCGTTGCGCCGATGTAGTATGCGGTGTCTGATGTATAACTTCTGTGATTTCCATACACGGTAAACTTATCTGTTTTTGCGGGATTCGCACGATCAACAGGAGCACGAAAATCGCTTGAAGTTGGAGGAAGCTATGGCACAACGTAAGCGATCCAATCGAATAGCCACACGAGAGGTAGTACAAATTTCAGCCGCCGAAGCCGCCATCGCAGTTTCGGAGAGGGAGACCCGCCTGCACTCCGAAAGACTCGAAGCAAGGCGACTCAAAGAAAAGCAGGCTACCGAAGATCGGTCACAGAAAGAAGAAGATCACCGGCTGGTTCGATTGAGGGAGCGCGAGGAGAGAATTGCTCTCAGGGAGGCTCAGGCGTTAATGGAGCGAGAAGCGGAGAAAAAGCGTGAAGAGCGAGCGAGATTGCGCGCAGAAGCAAAAGTGTTGGGTTTAGCTGTGAAAGTAGCTAGAAGTGGTGCCGAAAATAGTGTGTCACCGACGGATGCTAGTGAGAGTTGGGAACTGGATTGTGAGATATGCGGCGTCATGGGGAAGAACATGGTCAGACACTTCTCTAATCAGCCACGACCATGATCATGAACTAACGAGTTTGTATGCACTGCTCAATTGTCATCAAAATCTTTATTCAGGATGATGGTAGTGAAGTCATTTGCTGCGACAAGTGCGAAAAGTGGCAGCATCTAGCATGTCACGACAATGCAGATCAAATCCGACGTCTACCGAAGCGAGATTGGAGCAAGGCCGATTTCGTCTGTTCAGCATGTTCTGGAATCCCAATTCCCAGATCGGTCAAACATCTTCGCACACATGTGAATGGCAAGCCTAAACGGCCACGAAACAAAAAGCTGAAGGCGGATGGTGTTGAAGGGGGTGCGAACGATGTCACTCAAGCTATACGTCCGAAGCCGCGTATAACCTTATTTGTGAACGATCCTGACAAGCGCGGCGAGGGATCTTTGAGCCAAGTGCATCCCAATAAGAACCTTGCTACTCCCATGGCGTCCAATATCTCCCAACAACCTTCGCTTTCTCAAATCGCCCAACCACTTGATAATAAACCAATGAACGGACATATTGCTCCAGCTCTCACTAATGGATTTCATCAGAACCCAATATTTTTCAAGGAAGAACTATCTCCCAGTATCAGTCCACATATCTCCCCAGCACTGACCGGTGTTCAACCAAGTCCTGTCCCTGCTTGTACTGGACTTGAACCTTATTATGATGACCTTGATAAACTTATACCAATCTTACGCGCAAATGTTCAACTACATCGAGTCTTACCAGTTTCAGTCATGCATCGTGTACGTCGATACCTTATCGATCAACAACAGCGACGTCAATCTACAACTGTTCCGAATGGATCCCCAAGCAATTCAACACACCTTACACCTACTCCCAACGTCTTCTCTATCCCACCAAAACCAATGTTGCCACTTATTGCACAATTCAATCCGTCCTTACCAGTTAACATCGAACCGACCCAACCCCTACCACCTATCGGTAGCGCTCTTCCTACGGCTGCTGATTGGTATGATCAACATCATGTGAAAACTTCGACAACATCGTTCGAAAGTTTTGTGGATCCAATCTTTGCTTCTTCAATCAAACTAGAATCAAGAGTTGAATCAACAATACCAAAAAATGAAGAGAAAAAAGTAGAAGAAGTGGATAATGAAGTGGTCAAACCAGAATTACAAATTATACCACCAACATCAGTTGATAATCATCAATCTCAAAGTTTAAGTTTATGAAGCAAACCAAATCAAATTAATCAAGATGCCTTACAATGAGTTTCTTTTCTGGTTTATTATCAAGTTATCTCTTTTTTGTTGGCAGAAAAGGAAGTTGTATCAAAAAAATGAATCACATTGTCATGTATGAGGAGGAAAAATCAAGTTAAATCTTTCGTTTTTTTTTCTTTGCCGGTAGATGATCAAGACTGCGAAATGATTATTTTACTCAATAAGAATTGAATGATGATAAACTAAAAAAAATGTTGAAAAAGTCTTTGTTTGCTAAGATTATAGATAGAACTAGAATTAGGTTGTTAAAGTTGCTTAGAGTAAATAAATAAACTGTTATGTATGATGAATCTAAAGAATGGTTTTCTTCTTATAGGTTTTCATGAAGCGTAAGATAGAGAAAGAGAATTGATTACCCTAGAGATGAGTTTTCTTAGTAAAGGTTTTTTGGGGGGACTTGGGTTGTCTGTATGGTCTTGGTTAGAGAGTGAACAAAGTTCATCAAATTGTTGCAGGTGGTTATTGTAGACTGAGGATTAAAAAGATATGTTTGAAATGCACAATCCCAAGGCCCATTGACTGAGTGGATGGATCAGATGAGACAAATTGGATTGGCATTGAGTTGATTTTGTTAACAATGACCTGAATCAAAGAAAGTGTATGGACAAACAAACTAATATTGTTTGAAAGACGTGTTTAACCACATTATATGCATGGGAAAGCCGCACCCACCCTGATTTTTAAGCTCATCGGGTGTTTTGCGCTGCGCCCACAGCCTGGAGTATGTGGGCTGGAGACAAGTTGATGGTTTGGGAAGCTAGTCTGTCTGATGAGGATGCCATGGCGAGAAGCTGATTTTGCTGCGAGGTGAGAAAGAGATGTGAATGCCCCGCTCTCAAGGCAGGTGGCCGCGGGGCAGCCGCAGGAGAGGAACCAAGCCGAGTCGGTTCCGACATTCACTCCGGTTGCACTCTACTACTCTTGAGCTTTCTTTGACGAAGCAAGAGTCCAATCCGATTCCCAGCCATCTTCTTCCAAGCTATGGTACTAACTGTCAATCGCTCCTCATCAAGATATTCAGCGAAAGGGTCTTATTTTCAATTGATTCAGATTCAAGGACTCGATCTGACTGAATTCTCAAACGCGATCAAATCGCCCGAATCTCAGAGGGTGTTGCACTCTTGGAAACTTCGATCCTTGATGGCGAACGTCGCGAAGTAGCTCCGCTAAAGGCGCTGAGTGGCGCGAGTGCTTACCCTGGTCATCGCAAGAGTAGATGTTCAGCACCCCTGACATGGAAATGTAGTATTTGGTCTCGTCGCTTTTCGAATTGTAGATGGTCTGTCACATCCAATGGTCAAACGGTTTCGAAAAGACGAGGCGCATGGAGTGGCCGATCAAATTCAAAATCACCTCCAGAGCTGTGCGGATAGCTAGCCATTTGGCATCCATCACTCAATCGCTGAGTGCTCTAACACTTCTTGCACTTTTCCAGTGTAATCAGGACTACTTTCATTCTGATACCGTCTGACTATTGCGAAAAAGACTGGCGCGCCACCGAGGTTGACGAATGTTCGTAACCAAGCGTGATGCCTACTTCCTACATCCAACACTCCAAATACGTTGATGTGGTGAGCGTCCACTTTTGATTTTGAATAGCAAAAATATATTCTTTTATCAAAAAATCACTCTCTTCACCACATTGACGATTTCATTCGAGTTATCCTTTATCCGTCAACAACTATTGGAAGGCGACGATGGCAGCTACCACAGTAACAGCCTCATATGATGATGGATTATACCATCCTCCCACACCTACCGCTTCACTTGTAAGTTCCATCAGCACGGTCTAATCTTTCTTCACGTAAAGAGTCGCGATTGATTTTATTCTCATACGCAGCCTTCATCAACAGCTGTCCAATCCACCACCATCACTGTGGCCACCCCGGCGGCTACGCTTACTCCCGTTCTTCTGATTCCGTCATCAGCTTTCTTGTCTCACTCCGATTCTTCCACATCTGCATCTGATATCATGAAGAACAATGGGCAACTCACTAGCATCGCTACTTCCACCTCAACTCTGGCCTCTATCACACCCTCAGCTCGAACAAGTTCAATAGCACAACCAGAGACCCCTCGAAACTCTAGCCCTCTGATCCTTGGTGTCTTTATCTTCCTTTTTTTGTTTCTTGGTGTGACCTTCTTTGCTGGATATATGTGCCGAAATCCATTTAGAAGATGGAGAGATAATCGTCGCTTAAGACATTCACCAATGTTTGGAGATTTTTCAACTCGATATGAGGAATCTGATGAAATGTTAGAAGTAGGATGGCAGGAAAGGTATCAAGTTGATGAAGAAAAAGAAGAAATTTTAAATCATGAATTACATCCTCAAACTCCTTCTGACCCTTTTGCACGATCGATTCCTCGTCGAAGTCAAATTCAATCTTATCTTGCATCTCGAAACCCGTCCACGACTAATCCAGTGGAACACATCGGTAACGAACGCGGATGGCTCTGGGGAACTCGACGATCAAAGGCTTCACGTTCTAATGTCATACCAGGACTAGGAACTGGCCATTATCGAGCCAAGTCTAACAGATCGCGTGCAAGTAATTCGCGTCAACAGTTGGACGACGGGTTACTCACTCCTTCAGTATATTCAGCCTCAACATATTCGGAACCTGTTTCATACGATCCCAAGACAAACACACAGGAAGGAGACGATTTCAGACCCAACTCAGAACAAATGGACAAAGAGCTCAACGAATATCTCGCTGAGAGTCGAACCACTGTTACATCGAAAGAGTACGCACAGCAGCTCAAAACCGCCTCACGGAGCCATGGCCCATTCTCTCAAGGAGGTTATCTTGATCGCTTGAAGGAAAGCATCAGCAGTCGCTCGGCTTTTAGTCGTTCTTCCCGTGCTAGAGGTATGAACGATTCAAATAAGGGTCGCTGGAATGAAATTGGACAGCTTGAAGAAGACGAAGATTACGAAAGTGAAACTGAGCGCACTGTCATGATGGATTTCAAGACACCAACCAAACCCAAATCATCCCGAACGCGCCCTAGCGAGTTATCTCTCGCAGATATCCCATTACCAGAAGTCCCTCTTCTTGCCTGGGACGTCGCCTCTTCACCATTCAAACAGAAATACCGAGCGCATGGTGGTGATGAAGACCCAAATTACCTTGATAGCTCTGTGAACAACACTCCAGTAAGAAGAAGTACCAGAGGATGGACTCTTTCAGACCAAGCCCGACCTCCTGCTTCATTCACTGCAGCTCTCCCTAGCTCCTCTAATCTCACTCCTCTTAGAAACCAGCTACAGGATTCGAAGCGTGCCGAGGATCGAGAAGCGATCCGAAACTCTTTATCTATGTCTCATTCTCAAATCCTCTCCCCTGAGCTTCAACCGAATCTCTTCTTTACGGCTGCAAGTCCTCCAAATCACCATCAAAAGGCCAAAAAGATGACCAAAGAATCAAAAGTGATGAACGCATTGCTCGGCTCTTCTGATCAAATCTATTCACTTACTGGAATCGCACAACTAATCTTTCCAACCGATTCAAGTGATGGACCTTCGACTCCGAAAAGTCATAAAATGCACACCACTCGATCTACTCCCGTTCATTCAGAAAGCTACACAACCCTTCCGACTCCTAAATCTCAACGTAGAAAAAAACGAAGCGAAACGATCTCTGAACAATCTATGATCAATCAGATTTCACCATCTCCAAAAAGAACATCTGCTATTAAACATCGAGTACCATCCCGAGAATTCGAAAAAGAACTTGTATCAAACCAAATCCTCCAATCTGTTTCATCTGATTCTCCACTTCGTAATACTGAAATTCATCCTGGAGGGTTTATTGGTCGGTCACCTACTAAGAAACTTAAGAAGAAAATCGTGATTGGAACTTCTGCAAAAACAAACTTACAACTCAAACGTGAACAAGAACGTGCTTTTGATGTGATTGATAGTATTGTTCAAACTAGTCCACGTAGAATTCAGAATTGAAAACCGGTTTTGGAATCTTACTGGATCATGAAGTTTGTTTTTTCGAGTTAATCTATTGTTTTGTTTTGTTTTGGCTTAAACTTTTGTCTTTGGTTATCTTTTCACTCACCTGTTAGAACATGGTTACTTGAATCAATTCTTTCTTTCAACTTGTGTACTCAAAATCTGGTTTTCCTTTTCCTTTTCTAATGATTAATACATCCTTCATTATGGATTTCATGTTTTCTCTGTACCGTATCCTTTATCACAACATGAGACTAATGACTATGAAATTTTATCTACTTGTAAAGCTACGTCTTAAATGGAAATCATGATGTCTTACATCTAATACAAAATCTAATGAATTCGAGGTTATATTATATTGTGGCATTCAATTATAACCACAATCCAAGTTAGATTAACTGGAAGGTTGATGTTTGGTAAAGTGAGTTGTGCAGAAACATCTAAACCAAACACCACATAATCTTGATAAGTGCAGTACAATCAGATTAGGCATCAAATCAAAAGTCTGTCCAGAATTTCACATTTAATTGAACTTGAAGTGAAGTTTCCAACGTTCAACTTCTATGGCTCTCACTTTCCAATACAAGGGAGACTGACATGCGTCGGGTGAGATTCGGATTGCGTCTGGACCATCACAATGGATTGCCAGGAGTTTGGTAAACGAAGCAGTCTCTCCTCATTTCATTTACCCATGTTGCTCAACTGTTTTACAAAATCCTTCTCGCGTTCGTATCAATGTCAGTCCCAAAATCTGTCTAATCTTGGAATTCTTGCATCAACCCCTCTTCATATCCAAAAAAAAACATTAATCTAACTACAATTGTCCATCTCTAGAAAAAGATCTCTGGTAAAAAAAAAGTATAGTAAAAGATGAAAATCTGCCACAGAGACCAAGAGATTTTATATACAAGATAAATATAAATATGTAGATGATAGATCAGAGTAACAGTAGAACACTAAGACTAGTGATACACACAAGGCAAAAAAAACCAAAATGACATTTTTCATTCTTTAAAATCCATACAACAAAACGGTCACTTTGCCTGTAAATATCCAAGAGTTCAATAGCAGACCAAAAAAAACAGATACATTTGTAAAAACACTACATCTACTTATTCTGAGGAAAAAGACAGATAATAAAATAATAAAAGGAATTCAAGGATTAGATAATAGGATATGAAACAAGCAAATAGATAAGGATTTTTATAGATAAGGGGAACAGAAAAAAAAAGAAAGCAAGATAAATCGAAGTGAATTGAATACAAAAAAATAGATCACATTCTAGTAGTCATCGGTTCATCTTTATCATGAGTTGGATCAATCATCACATCAGATCCGCCTGTTAAAGATTCTTGACCATTACGACGATGCGCCTGAGCTTGTGCTTTGTGAATCCAAATGCTATCTGATTCAAATAGTACGTCCATGTCTTCAAGACTCCTTCCAGCAGTTTCAGGCTATAGATATTTTCGGGAATGTTTTGGTCAGGTTCCTGAGTAAGATTTTGATTGAGTTTTTGAAAAAAAAAACTTACGTAGAGGAAGTAGATGTTAGGCAAGGTGAAGAAATTCAAGATTCCGAAGCTGTTTAATGAAAATCAAAAAAAAGTTAGCAAATTTACCCAGAGAATAAGTTTCCAACATGAAAGCAAACAAATGATTGCTTACAGAATGAAAGTCCAATACGTGATAGCGTTAAACAAGAAAGGTGCAATCTCCGTGACCACAGCGTTTCCAATCGACCATCCAACGACACTCCACTGAATTGAGATAAAAGATGATCAGTTTGAGTTCTGTGTCATGAAGAGATAAGCGAACGGTTCTGCTTACACAACCACCTTTGGCTCTGACAAACAATGGCATGATCTCAGTGGGTACCAACCTAAGAACAAAAACATAAGTTAGATACATCTGAATGCTGGTTGCTACAGTATCAAGTATGTTTGAACCCCTACTAACCAAGGAACTGTCAACCAAGCTGGATTAAGAAAGATCCAAATCAGTCAAAGCTTTTCAATCCCTTAGGGTAGCTAGAACAGAAAAACTCAACTGGCTCCGAAAGTGGCCGTATAAACGAAGACACCAGTTGTCACCACGGCACCCCAACTTTGACGTACATGAGAGGTGAGAGAGCCATCTCCAGAATACCTAAAAAGATAAAGAGCCCAAGACATATCAGAAAAAGGATCCTTGTAACGTGTATAAGCGAAATTGTGACCGACTTGGCTCCTACTCCTGCTATGATCAGAGCGATACCCATTACAATTGCCCCCCAGTACAGAGTGACTCGACGACCAACGCGATCAAGTGTGACAACGGCGACTAAAACACTCATCACTGTTTATTCATCACATTATCAGCTTTATTATAGAAATCAGAAAAGAGACATAAAGTGGCGACTGAACTGTATGACAAATCATTGATACCCGAAAGCCTTGGTAGATGAGGATAAAACGTGTCTTGCATAAGCTGGGCGAAAAAGAAAGATCAGACTATGATAATTGACTCACAAATTCGACTTGTATTCACTGTAACCAGCCTGAAAACGGAGACAAGAGATGTCAATAATTCTTTCCAAAAAGAATTCAAGGAAATGAAAATTACCTGTTGAAAGACAGTAGGAGCATAGACAGTAATTACACCGATTCCCACCAGTTCTTGCATAATTTGAAGCCAAATGATAAGCCAAGTACGACGACGTAAATGTAATGGATCGTTCTTAGTAAGCATACTCCAATAAGTAGTAGTACTATCATGTTGACGTTCGATTTGAACTGCTTCAAGGATTCCTTGGAACTCAGAATCAACTTTGTCATTCAGTTCTTCTGTAGTCTCTCCTTTACTTGAACGTAATACTGTAAGAATGTGACGAGCATCATCTGTTTTTCCAACTTTGGCGAGCCTGGAATCATGAGCGAGGATTAGTATTGAATGATAAGAGGGAAAGATGTTTCTGTATCACTCACCATCGGGGAGACTCTGGGAAGAGCGGAACCATGATTAAGAGGACTACCAAGAATACGATTTGGATTGCCAATGGTAATCTCCAACGTAATCCTTCACTACTTGCGCCTCTCAAACCAAATTCGATCCACTAGATAGAAAAAGTTAGTGAGATTTTGATATTGTGTTGATACAATGGTTGAACTCACGTAAGCTAAAGCCAATCCAGCAATGTTCAAAAGAACTGGAAGAGGTCACAGGTTGATTTAAAGGTTAGTCACTGTGGGATTTGAGATCATGCAATGCAGGAATGTAATCCTTACATTCGAAACCCATGGCAGCACCACGACCTTCATGATGTGAAAGTTCAGAAGTCCATACAGGTACAAGCGCATTGAGTTGACCAGTACCAATTCCTGTAAGTACTCGGGAAAGACTAAAACAAAATGAATGTCAAAAAACCATACGATACTTTCGATCGAGTCAAAAATGTTGGTGGAAAAGAAACTCACCACATCCATGTGATCTAAGATAGGGTAAAGAGCAGCATAAAGGTTTTTAAAATAATATAAGTATTCCAAGGACAGAAGGTGACACAAAGATTAAGAGTATAGCGAAATCGGTCGTACATTTCTTGCAGAGGCTTGAAGTGATGCACCAAAAATAGCCCACAGACACGCAAAGATGATTGCTAGAGGGTAACCAACAAAAAAACTTGAGCTCATGAACACGATAATTCAGATTCATGAATTTGTCACACACTTTTGACACGACCTATCTTGTCTCCAAGGACACCTGCAATCAAAGCACCAATGAGAGTACCCTGATAGATTCAAACATGCGCATATATGAGCTTAATATTGAATCATAGCTCTGGAAGGCATGTTTGGTGACAAGGACGGTTTTGGAACTTACGCCATAGTAGACTGCGACGATTCTGGAAGACAAAGCATTGAGAAAAATATTATCGAATCAATATCCTCTCCAGCGCCTCTCTGAGGTTTTGTTTGATATTAAAGATTTTGATGACTTACCCTCCAATCTTTGCTGAATCACCTTCAGTTTGAGGATCACTGAAAATACCCATACGACGTTGATAATCATGTGTATTGTTAACACCTGCAAAGTAATGAGAGAAGGTCAAGAAGAAATCCTTTGGTTCAATACCTTTTTTGTATTCTTATAATCACGATTGACAAAAAACTTACCAGACATCACTCCTCTATTTGATTCACAAAGAATTCGGAGAAAAAAAAGGAATCAGTACCCTAAGATGGTAAACATAGAAAATAAATTTTCAAAAAAGACCAAAAACTTACTGATCAAATCCATAAAACATGATAGCAATACCAGCGATCAAATTAACAGCCCATGTCATCGTATGACCAGTGAAAGGTAATTGACGTTTACGATTATAACCACCAGGGAAATATTTCGCATACTTCCATTCGAGTGGCATTGAATTAGTTGTTGAACCTCTTTCTTGGTTGTCCGTAAAAGCTTTAACATCTTGTGGTTCAGTAGGATTTTTCATCTTTACTTTTTACGCGCTTGGTCAATGTTGAAAAAGAAAATATGAAAGAGTCAAGCAAGATTGTTATTTGTGGGAACCGTAGAATTGAGGCGAGATTGAAGAGGTGGGTCGATTGTGATACGCAAGTTGATGATTTATATATCTAATCTTAATGGTCTTTCCTTTGAAATGTTATCTGTATCACCACGATTTTAAGCAAAGATGATCGACTTGATGACGAGATAAGAGGATGAGTAAAGGGATGACTGTGATGATGCAATGAGAATATGTCACACCAAAATAGAATCAATTGAAATTTATGATGTAATGAAGTGTTTTTTTTTTTTCGGAAGCACAAGCAAGTTATCGGACGAAAGATTAGTAAAAACCACCGAAGGGCAGAAGTTCAGTGAGTAAAAAGTTCCGGAAATGATAAGGGATCTAAGAAAGCGGGTGATGGAGACTAAGAGATTGATAACCAAAATCAATGAAGAAGTACTATAAAAGGGAAAAGAGGATGTGAGGTAGTAGGATGATCTTTATAGAGTGCTTTTGGTGTTTACCCAATGTGGAATAAATAGACAGAAGAGCAGTATAAAGACGCCGTCACAGGTTCACAGGGTGATGATGGGAAACAATCACCAAACGGAGTAGATACGGTGGATTTGATATGACGTCGATGAGATCGATGAGACTCTTTGGATTGATTGATGAGTAAAGGTAGATCAACGATGATGAAAAAGTGTGTAATAGTATAATTTAGCTCAATATGTTGATCGATTTGGATGGATTGGATGAAGTATTGGTTGGAAAGCTGCTTGATAAATATATGTGAGCCTGAGGTTGTGGCTTTCGTCTTACTTTAAGGTTAACAAATTCAAGACTCTTAAATTCCTTTACAAGTTTTCTTCCCATCAACGATGAGACAAGGATGGGATTTAAGTGATTGGAATGATGAGATTCGATAGACTCAATTCAGCTTCCCACTCACAAGTCTCCAGAGAGAAAGATGCAGGTTCTAGAAAACCGAGGTCTTCAGTGCCCGAATGAATCGTATCAGCGCTTCTCAGCTGACCAAATCAGTTTAGTCCTCCGAGTTATCTGATCTCTTTGGAGTATGTTGATCGACATATGACTGATATCTGAAACGTGCAGTGTGCTCAAAAATATCTACTCCGCTGCAACTATTCCGAGTGAGTCGTTCGTTAATCTGTCTTTTTCTCTCTCAGACAGCAGAATGATGAAGATTGATGGCATATAGTCTGATTTGATGATTGATTGATTTGTAGTTTGAAAGAAAAGTTTGCGAATGAAGATTTCTAATCATTCATCAGACTTGTGACCATCGCCAGACCCACTCGTCTGAATCTCCACGTACATATGTCCTACAACTCTCACCATTAACATGACGTCATCATTTCTCTCATCAGTCATGATGGTCAAGATCTGATCTGAAGCGGTACACTTCAAACTGAAATCTGTCCTCCTCCTAGATAATACGCATCAAAGTGTGGAGGCTTTCATCGGACGGGTTTGAGAACTGTAAATATCCTTAAAAAGTGGTAAGTCTTCAAGTGTCATGAGACTGAACTCATGAGAGTCAGAATCCAACTCACACCCTTTATTTTGAAGTCTCTATCTCCATTCTTTCTTTTGGACCTCAAACGTTAGGCAAGGGTAGATCTTTGATTTTTCCAATCGGTGATCTCATCAACAAAAAAACGCCATATCCTAATCTTAAACAAATTAATCTTAAACCTCATGAGGATTCTTAAAGATAACATTTGCTTACCCAAATCACTGGTAAGACAACTCTAAGCACAAGTGTCAGATTAATGAGTCTTTCCGATTCCGGATTAACGTCATCTTGGTGATACCGAGGAGAGTTTCATTTGAAAAAGATTAAAAGAATTAAATTAACATCAATCTTGAGGATCATAAACCGGGTTGCTGTTCCTTACTGCATCACTTTCAAACTTCACAAATATCTGCATACATTCACTTGGCGATACGCACAAGTCTATTTGCATCTGTTTCACGTTTCTTTGATCGGCGAAAGTGCTCCGGGCCGTATGTCCATTTTTTTTGATCTGGGTCTCTTCGTGACGCGCATCTTGAGCGTAAATACGAGATAGATCGAGGTCTGATCGATCGTACGAGGTTATAAAGAGATGGATGCACCATACCCGGAAGTGTGAAATGTGAACATTTTACCCTTCATCTTTCTGACTACGATCGCCATTCGATAAAGCATTTCTTCGGTCCGAGCCATGGATGTAAACAATTGCAAACCATTAAGTACTTGTGTATGCGTGTCTGAAGGGTTTGTGGCGGTAGTGATACATACAAAGAGTTCATCAGATTGACCATGTTTAACATCAGTCTTAACTCTTATCATTCAGACTTTGATGGTTTCAGCACTCTATATCCTGAGGGCGCCCAAATGTCCAAATTTACCCCAATTGAATACTCGGACCTTTCAGGTAAGCGAAACACTTCCGGCTTGCGTAAGCTTAACAAAGTCCCTCGCGAGCGTGTTCGCCGCGCCCTCGAAGAGGGGCTTAGGTCAGACTTGGGTTTTTTGGCGGTGGAGCTCCAAGAGTTAAGCCCCGGCGAACGTGCTTACTAGGAGCTTTGTTAAGCTTATGGCTTGCGTGATGCAAGGATACATGGTGAATATCCATGTTTCTTGGGATGTTGTGCCTGAATGATTTTACATCCAAGTTTCATTCAAGTTATCAATTGAAGTAACACATGGGCTCACACCGTGGGCAATCCACCATCGCATACAGCGGCTCCGACAGGCCGTCGTATTTTATCCTTACCATTTTCTCAATGATACGTAAAGGTATATAAGTACCAAGTATGGACGAAAGGGTGCGCGAATAGGACGAGAAAATGAGCAGGCCTGATATATTCCATCTTCGAGTCTTTTTTAGATGATTCTGATAGTTCTGATCCATAGTACGAGCTCAGATTTACCATGGAGCTACCAAGGTATATCCATCCTTGTGAGAATCAGATTTCCCTAGGAGTTTGGTTTGAAGTGTGTTTTGCATAGTCCAGTTCGGAAGGAGTTCAGGAGAAAGTGGGAAAGTGATATAGGAAAAAGGTTTACCAGACCCAAACCTGAAGCAATGGCTCAAGCTTTGAGGGATAATTTACTCTGAAACTTGTGTTCAATCTCATTGGACGGATTTGTTAGCAGAATGAAAGCGTATGGAAGGATATGAGGGATGCCTTTTGTATGTGGATGAGGTCTCCAGTTTGTCTAAATCCACAACTACCTCCACTCATTTTCATCTTGACTGATCGTCGCTACCCATTGGGAAGGACTGCTTGCTTCGCGTCCTTAGACGCAATCCTCACTCTTTTTTAACTCCAACTGCTGCCTGTCATTTAAAGCTACTGTTCATCATGCGCTCCATCATACCAGTCTTAGTCTGCATCTGCGTCCAACATGGAGCGATCATTAACGGTCTTCCAAATCACTCTTATGATCGACTTGTATCGCCTTCTTTACAAAGACGTATGCACGATTTGGAAACCATCAAAGAAGCGACGCCAGCTCTTGAGTACGAAACCCATCGGAGTGAAAACCCAGGGAACGGTCGGTTTCCTGTTGATGAAATTGAGGAGATTGAACCTGCTCTCAAGGCTAAAGAACCATGGGAACCTCTTGCTGGCCGCGTAATCGATGGCAAGGATATCAAAAAGAACAAGGCCAAAAAAATATCTCAAGACGATTCTTTCCGAGTAACTGACCCAGATTCATCACTTACACCCTTGGAAATTCAATATGGAAAAGAATGGGAAAAGAAAAAATTTGATGTCAATCAAATGTTACGTCTTCATGATCGTCTTCAACTCCCTTCAGACGGAGTTTCTTCAATCAACTTCCCACCTACTAGACTTATAAAAGATTCAAATGACATAGAGGATTCAAAGACAAATTTTAAACTAGAACCTTTACTGGATGATGGAATTGATTCAAAAACTGGAGAACCCAAGAAATTTACAAAAGATCAATTAAAATGGTACTTAAAACACTTTAAAGTTACCAAACATAACGATTTCGAAAAAGAAGAATTTCAATTAAATTTAAAACATTATATTGGACAAACTTGGAATCCAAATGAATTAAAATCAGTTGAAGGAGAAGGAAAACCAAAATGGATATTAGAAAAATATGTAAAAGAATGGAAAAAACTTAATTTAGATGAAACTAAAATGATGAATTTGGGTGGATTACTTGGAATTCATTTTGATTTAGATCATGTTGAATTGATTTCAAAAGAATCGGCATTTTATTTACGTGGGTTTCTACGTAAATCTGAATCATCTAAAGAAATGTTAAATTGGTATAAGGAAGCGATCTTACCTTCTTTATCTACTTTATCACAAAAGATTTTAAATATTAATTTAAAGTATAGTGAAAAAGAACCTTGGTGGTCAAGAGTCAATTCAAATACATGGCAATGGTATGATCGTGAAACGTTTTCAGGAGATCAATTATTTCAACTCTCGATTGTTCAAATCGGTGAAATTTTACGTTTGGGAGAAAGGAATCTTGAACCAACAATTGAAGAAATCAAAACTATGAAGAGTGATTTGCTTGGTATTTTTAAAAGAGTTCCTTATATGATTGTCGAACCTTCCACAAGAGAAACACACGGTTATCCAACTATTATAGCAGATGAGCTAGATGCAATCACACATCGAATCATTGGGGAATCTTTATTTTCTGAACGGATGCAATCAATCGGTCTTACAAACGAAGAAAAACTGACATTCTCAAATAAATTCTTTGACTCTCATGTTACTGATCAAGAATTAATGTCACCTGTGATCGATAGCCTTGAAATCCAATGGTTAATTCATGGATGGAGTCCAACAGATGCTTATGAAGTTACATCAAACTTACGAAAATTGTTAGCTAAATCAAATATCTCTTTATTGAAAAACTTGAAAAAATCATCTAAACTTTTAAATTCAATCTCACCTGAAAGTTGGATTAAAAATGGTAAACTTTCAACCCAATCTTTTGATTTACTTGAATTCTATTCAAAACTTTTAAATAAACCTGAGATTATGAAAAAGGTTTGGTTTTATGAATGGGTGGTTTATTTGTTTCATAAGGTTTTTTCCTTTCCAAAAGCTATTTGGAAAAGAGTTAAGTCTTTGGCTTCGTGAACTTGAAGTAAGGATAGTCTTGCTTGTGATTTTGCTTGTGAGTTTTTCTTACCTTTCAATCTTTTTGACTTAAGAGAATTAGTTTTCATTCCAAACGAAGAATGCATACTGATTGTCTTTTTAATTTTACTCATTTCATTTCAATCTAATGGTCAGAGTTCATGTTTTGGAAAGAAAGCTTTTCACAATATATGTTTTCGCAGTTTCTTCACAAATTTATTGGGGTTTTGAAAATAATTTTGGTAACCCTTTGAAATCAATGAATTTATTATCTTTGACTCATTTTCCTCAAGATTTATAAGACTTGTATTACTTCAATCAGATACTGAATATTAAGTATCATCATTCAGCGTTTCCATATACCAACACACATTCATTTATAGGAATTAGGGGTTTTCTTTTTCTTTTAGTCAGAAACGAAATTCTTATTCAACTCGAATCATCAGATAAGGAATTTGTCTTCATAGATGAGCAATAAAAAACACATGAACACGCTCTTATTGATATGAAAAGGATTCCTTGATGTTGAGAATCAGAGGAAGAGCCAAAAACATCACAGAACCCAAACTGAGTAAGATATTACAAAACAAAATCAAAGACATGAAATGTAAGGAAACATGGGGGCTGGGGAGACAATCTGGTTGTATAGTGTCTATGCAGTAAAACAACAAGTTCTTACAGATATGAGACAATCATTTAGAGGAGGTTACAAAGTTCAGGAAACTCTTTCAGGAGGCTGTTGACTTTTTTTCCAATCTGAAAGGATAGTTGGCTGGATAGTACGGTGCAGTGCGGGACGTAGTAAAGTTTGCGCGGCCGCGTCCTGGAAGAGGAACTCTCTTCCCGGCATGAGCATTCCACCGCTTCATGAGTGCACTTGTGTCGATTTTCGCACTTCCCCACTTCCTTGGCTGGTGAATACTTTTGTTTCTACACATCCTTGTACTCTTATGTATTTCATACAGATTTTGAGTGGTGGAGCCAATGAAGTTGGTTGCAGATATTTACAACAAAGGCCTGACCGCATGAGAGATCCCAATGAGATCCTCCTACGAGAGTGAAGTGTGTTTTGCGAAATCCAGTTTGTAGAGGATTCAGGAGGAAGTGGGAAAGACGTAAAAAATTCAGTGTGCCAGCCTAAAACCCGAAGCGTTGGCTTTGAGGGATAATTCGCTCTGAAACTTGTATTCAATCTCACGAGCCAGGTCTGCTAGCTCAATGAAGGTGATTTAAAATCACGGCGTTTTGAAGGGGCGACTCTTTTGTGTCGTGTGTGGATGAGTTGTTCATATTTTTTGCATCACATTCAACTCCCATCATCTTTGCCTTGGTTCAACGTCGCTCTCTACCTGGAGGAAGTTCCTCATCCGCGTTCTTATACTCAATTCTCACACTCTTTTTACCTCCAACTGCTGCCTGTCATTTAAAGCTACTGCCCATCATGCGCTTCACCGTACTAATCTCAGTCTGCATCTGCATCCAGTATGGAGCGATAACTAACGGTCTTCCAAATCACTCATATAATCGACTCGTATCACCTTCTTTACAAAGACGTATGCACGATATAAAAATTTCGGAAGAAGTGGAGCCACTTCTTGGGCATGTGAACCTTCAGACCGAAAAACCATTGAACGGAAACTCCGCTGGTAAAATATTTGTTGAAAAGCAACCGCTCTCATCCATTAAAGAAGACGAGGAGCTGGTCCCTTCATCACCTGAACCTGAAGCTTTTGAACATGGAACCCTGAAGGCTAAAGGACAATCTGATCCTCTTGTTGGCCACGTAATGGATCACAAGGAACCGATCAAACCTATCAAAAAGGAGAAAGAAGTCTTCAAGACCCAAATCCCATCAGGAGAAGTTTCGATACCCGTAACTGATCAACAATTGCGACTTGCTGCCTTGAAATCCAAATATAGAGAAGAATGGAAAGAGAAAAAACTTGATGTGGATCAAATGTTACGTCTTCATGATCGTCTTAAACTCTCTTCAGATGGAGTTCCTTCAATTAGTTTCCCACCTACTAGATTTCAAAAAGATCCAAAGAAGATACGCGATTCAAGTGATATAAAACTAACAAAGAATTCAAAAGGTTCAAAGGAAGACCCAAAACTAGAACCTTTACTGGATCTCGGAATTGATGCGAAAAGCGCAAAACCACATAAGTTTACAGAAGATCAATTAAAATGGTACTTGAAAAAATTTAAATTATCTAATCAGAATGACTTTGAAAAGGAAAAATTTCAATTATATTTAAAACATTATATTGGACAAACATGGACACGAGAAGACTTAGAATGGGTTGAAGGAAAACCAAGATGGGTATTAGAAAAGTATGTAAAACAATGGAAAGAATTAGATTTAAATGAAGAAAAGATGATCAAATTAGGTGGATTACTTGGACTTTATACTGAATTAGATGAAGTTGAATTTATTACAAAACAATCCTTTTATCATTTAAACACTTTTCTTCAAAATGAACCTGAATCAGCTAAAAAGATGTTGAAATGGTATAAAAAAGCTACCTTACCTTCTTTGTCTACTGTATCACAAAAGATATTGAATATCAATTTGAAGCATGTTAAAAAAGAACCTTGGTGGTCAGACGATAATTTAAGAATATGGAAATGGTACGATTATCATATGTTGGGTGGATTTCGACGATTTCAACTCTTGATAGTTCAAATAGGTGATGTTTTACGCTTAGGAGAGAATTCTCTTGAACCAACAATCGAAGAGATCAAAATAATGAAGAGTGATTTGATTCCTATATTCAAAAGATTTTCCTACATCATCGCTAAACCTTCGACACGCCAAACACATAATTTTCCAACTATCATAGCAGATGAGCTAGACGTAATCACACAATCGGCAGAAGGCGACTCTTTATTTTCTAAACGAATGGAATCGATGGACCTTACAAAAGAAGAAAAAGAGACATTCTCTACAAAGTTTCTTGATCCTCACGTCACAGATGAAGAATTAATGAGGCCTGTTATAGATACCTTTAAGATTCAATGGTTATTGAATGGATGGAATCCAACAGATGGGTATGAATTCACATCAGCATTACGAAAATTACTACCTAAATCGAATTCAGATTTATTCAAATCTTTGAAACAATCACCTGAACTTTGGAATTCAATCTCACCTGGAAATCATATTTCGAATGGTAAATTATCGAAACAAAGTGTAGAGTTACTTGAATTTTATTCAAAACTTTTAAATAAACCCGAGATTACGAAAAAGATTTGGGTTTATCAGTGGTTTGTTTATCCATTTTACAAGGTTATTTCTTTTTCTAAAGCTATTTGGGAAAGATTCAAGTCACTGGGTCGATGAAGGATGGATTTGGACATATTGCTCGTTCTGTGAGTATTTCTTGCTACTGAATCTTTTCGATTTTAGAGAATCAATCTCAATTCTCAACGAAGACAGCATAAAGAAACATACTGATTTCCTCTTTGACCTCACTCACTCCCTTCTAACCTAGATGACAGGCTCCCATTCTTGGAAGGAGACATTTCCACGATTTTTTTGACAATATCTTGACAAACTTCTTGGGTTTTTGGAAAGCATTTTGGAAGTTTCAACCTTGGATCTTCTTAAATTTAACTCATTGTTTTCGTTATATATAATGTTTGTATGGTTATAGACTTCAACTATATACTAAATTTGAAGTGTCATAATGGAACATTCAAATATTCCAACACACCTCCATATTTTAGGAATTTGGACGAGTACCTTCACTCCGAGTGTTTTTAATCGTCTTTTAGCCAGAAGTCCGGGTTGGATTTCATTTTTATGTACTTCAATTCAATCATCACAGTTAATAAAGAGTAAAAGTAGTAAACAGGATAGGAGCCGCTGCCTACACCAAGACCCTCCTTTTTCTGTCTACTCTCAGTATTTTTATGATACAAAATACAATTGTTGATGTAAAACTTAGAAACAAGAAGAGAGCCAAATTGAATTAAAATCTTTGAAAAAATGTGGTGAAGAAATGAATGTATGATGTGATATGATTGGGACGTGAAGCTAGACTTATCCCATGGTAACTTATCTTGCAAGCTTTACGCTGTCCTGCCGATATTTTTGTGTGATTGATGAGATATGAGAGTGGTCAGTTTCATGTTGGTTTTTATTTTCTGAATTTGGAGCTGCTATAACCAAGTATTTCTTTCTACTTTTGCTGAGCTTTTCGAGAGAAGAGGGTCAAATACAATTTGGATGCCGATGGAGTCACAGCATCAAAAAGATATCCGAGTATGTGGACTTAAGTTATGGGTTTTCATCAGTCTAAACCCATACATACATGCATACGTATGCTCAAGAAAACCGAGTGAGAGGGTTTGTGAGTCCATTTGATTTCCTTCAAAACCGTATCTCAAAGATCTTCATAAGGCGTTGTGTTCAAAGTCAATCAAGACCACTTATTATTTCCTCGAAGACGTCATGTTTGATATCCATCGGTCAGCCTACGAGGGTCAGTGATGATCGCGAATAGAAGGACAAGTTCTCAATTTTCCAAAACTTCAGGATAATCATCCTGATGGGTTCGAGACTTTTCAAAAATCACTTAGGCCAAGATCAACTTGTAGCTGCTGCCTTGAGCGAAGAGCCTTCTCGAATTAATTCGGTTGACGCAGATGGTCGAACACCACTTCACAATGCTTGCTCGAGCGGTAGTACGTCTGTGGTTAGAGTGTGTACTATCATTCTCTTGGGCTCATCAGGTTGCGGAATTGATATCTTGGGGATTTCAGGTACTCCTAGATCAAACAGAACCAAAATGCGATATTGAGAAAAAAGACAATCTAGGCTGGACAGCACTTATAATCGCCGGTATGCACTATGTCATGATTTTTTTCCAATCACCTTGCCCCACAGGCTCTGAACTTTGAAGTGATCTACAAATCAAGGATGATGAAGCCAACAAGGAATTTTCTCACTGTCTGCCTATCTTACCCCAACTGCTAGCTTCCGCGGGTATCACCGAAGTCGTCTCTGACCTGATCCACAGCGGCGCAGATGTGAATGCAGTGAACGAGAAAGGCATGACTGCACTGTGAGTTCTCTTCCTCATCTCTATGAAAGCCTTATGCCGGTAAACATTCGATTTGACGACGACTAGCTGATCTAACCCTCCTGTGCAGACACTACGCTGCTTCGAAAGGCCGATTAGAGGTTGAGTCCATGCTACACATATCTCACATCTATTTCCGAGTTTCTTATATGTCCACACGAAAGATTTAACACCCTGCTTGATACAGATCGGTCGATTGCTGATACGCTATGGAGCCGATATCAACGCACGTGACCGTGCTAATCAATTGCCACTGTGAGCTCAATTTCCATCGGATCCCGTCATGTATTGAAGTGTGGATGAACCCACAACTTTGGTCCTACAGCCACCGTGCCGCATCTTCCGGTGCGATTCCATTTATTCGACTCCTTGTAAGCCCTGAACCCAACGCAAATGACACCACCACGGAAGATTCAGAGAATCCTCGACCTAAACCTCGACTAAATCTAGTAGACCGTGCTGGTCATACTCCACTTCATCTCGCCTTTGAATCAGGTCATGGTGAGGCAGCTTGTGTGCTGATTGAAGCAGGTGCAGATCGTGGTCGATTAGACTCGGAGGGTCGTCGACCTGATGAGGTGGCCGATGTATTGGGTGATCTAGTCCACTTGAGGCTGAGGCAATATGTCGAATCTCGTTGTGGAAAGTATGAATAAGAAGTTTGCGTGCTTCTGAATATCAAGTTTATCATGTCTCATTGAAAATGATTTATTCAAATGTTCCAGACTATTACCAATGGCCAAGAATCGTTGTAACCATTGCAGTGTGCTAACTCAATTGAAAATATGAAGACTATAAAAACAACAATGTTGACAAAATGGCGACTGCAATCACGATTGTATTACATTTTGATAGTATGATAAGACTTGAAGTAGAATGGAAGAAAAACTGTTTCGATGCTCAATGAAAATATGTAAATGTTAACAATTTTTTGAGGTATTGATCATCCGGAATTTGAAACCAATTCGCGGCCGGTCCGTAGTTGGTGGTTCGATCGCATTGATTGCTTCACTTGCTTCGATTGTTTTGATTGGAGTACGCACAGAAGGACGTCTCCTGATTGGCCCTATTGATCGTAACATATCTGGTTGAATTGGAGGTTGGAAAGGAGGTAAAGGCAATTTGCCACCTCTCTTCAAAGTACTTATGGCCGTGTCCATACCAACACAGAGTTCCACTGGTACCCCATGTGCTCGTATCAACAGCTCGGTTGTACCAAGGGCGTATGTAAAGGGTATGGTTGAATCTGTGAGGTACTATGGCAGGACACCTATTAGCTGTCAGTCTGAAGTTTGGAAGTATACAGTACTCACCCATTCCCAAGAGCCAGAACGAAGAACTTGTAGTCCAAGATCCCATGAGTCTGACGACAAAGTCTCGGAAGCGTGAAGCTCTAATACCCGACTCTCAATCAAGGCATACCTAGGAAAATTAAAAGCTACTACTGGTATGTTCAAAGATTCACCTGGCTGACACAATTGAGACAATAGATCGGTATCATTAATCTTCATCAATTACACAAACTCATCCTACTAAATCATAAAAAAGAGTGATTCTCACCTTAAGCCAAACGCGAAGTTTCAACTCGTGTACGCCCGGCTTATCCTCAGCCTTTTGCATGAGCTGTAGATTACTGTTATGAATGTCATGCAGCCTGGCCTCGTGAGCCATAGCGTCCTCTGGTAGATCATCCATGGTTCGATGGTCCGTTTGAGGACTGATGGAATGCAGTGGTTGCCGTTTGGTGAGAGAAGGCAAACTTAACAAAGTCCCTCGCCAAAGGCCCGAGCCCCAGCGAGGGACTTACCCCATAAACTGGAATCCTGGCGTGAGAAGTAGCCTGTATTGGCTCAAAAAACGCTACTTTGAATTCTTTGATTTGTTCCTAAATAAACAGGTCTCGGAGGTAAATAAAAGGATGATGGCAAATATTCATTACATATGAGCCAATTGCAAGCTTCCCCAAATCTGGTCTGGAACTTGGGCTACTGGGGAATCAAAAATGGGTCTGTTTTCAATTTTCAGCAGCGGCGAGCCGGCTCAAAGCCTGTATTTCTCAGAAAGCGGTCAAAATAATTGATCTTCAACTACTCAAAAAGATAACTTCCCAAAAAGATAGAAAGGAGTTTGCAATTGGTACATATGTAATGGTCCCTTGCCTTTTTCTTCTTTCTTTGTTGCAAGACATGTTTGTTGAGAGAGAAAAAAAACAAACAGATGTAGAGAATTTGGAGCAAATACAGCTCACTTCTCACGCCAGGATTCCAGTTTATGGGGTAAGAGCATCCACAACGGTCCTCGTATTTTGCGGGCCCCCAAACAGACCCCTGATCCAGATTTGTGGATGTCGGGGGTCAAAAAAACACGGTTGCACAGTGGTGCACCTAAAATTGGGGGTCAAACCTCGATTGAGGTATATTGTATGCTTGTACCGTATCATCCTCCATGATACTCTCTTTGTCCACCCAGAGCAAACAAAATCCAAGTCATTTGATTGAATCACATCAATGAATCCTACCCAGCTCATCGCTTTTTTTGACGACTTCATCAATGACGATGACATCGATTTGGCTGCAGCCCAAGTAGCCGCTCACTGGTACCAATCTACACAACAAAATGCTCCTGAAGAAGAGAAGAAAACGCGTCAAGAAATACGCCGACATCGTCAGCTTGCACACGAGATCATTTACAATCAGTACTTCTCTCCGGATCATTCTTACACTGACTATCAGTTCCGAAGACGGTATCGAGTAGAACGAGTCATTGTCGAAAGACTTCTGATCGATCTACAGAACCACAACCGCTACTGGATTCAGAAATATGACGCCGCCAAACGTCTTGGTTTATCTCCTCACCAAAAGGTCACAGCTGCTATGCGACAAATGGCTACTGGGGTTTCCGCCGAATACCAGGACGAATACATCCAAATTGGCGAGTCTACAGCTCTGGAATGTCTCAAAACTTTTTGTCAAGATGTTGTTCAGATATACGGGGATGAATACTTGCGCAAGCCAAATGTAGAAGATACTCAAATGTTACTTAATGAAGCTCGTGACCGCGGCCTCCCCGGTATGTTAGGATCAATCGACTGTACACACTGGGAGTGGAAGAACTGCCCAACTGCGTGGCATGGTCAATTCCGAGGCAAAGAGAAGGTGCCCACCCTCGTCTTGGAAATAGTATCATCTTACGATACATGGATTTGGCATGCGTTTTTTGGCCTTCCGGGAACCCTCAACGATATTTCAGTACTTGACCGATCTCCTCTTTTCCGCGATCTGATGGAAGGAAAATCACCTGAAGTTGAATTTACAATTAATGGCAAAACTTATCATCAAGGATACTATTTAGCAGACGGAATTTATCCAGATTGGGATACATTAATCAAAAGTGTTACAGATGGTAATCGAAAAGAAAAGGTCTGTGTGTACTTTTATCATTTCATCCGCACAAGATATGTAGCTGACTCATCATCTCTAGGTGTTTTCTGCACTTCAGGAGGCCTTGAGAAAAGATGTCGAGCGAACCTTTGCAATAATATTTGCAAGATTCGGTATTCTCAACTGTCCAGCAAGACTTTGGGACACCGCCAACTTACAACAGATCGTCTATTGTGCAGTTATCTTGCACAACATGCAAGTTGAACAAAACCGACTTGCTGGCCGTTACGAACGCAGAATTCCCGCTTACCTTGATGATGCTCGCCCTGCACCCGAACAAACTGCTGACTCATATGCTCAATTTGAGCTTTACATTCAAAGACTCCATACTATGCGAGATAAACATCGTTACAGAGCACTAATGCAAGATTTGATCGAGCATGTATGGAGTCAGTCTGGTGAACAAGAATAAGATATACTTTATCATTTGAATACATATCTTTAGATTTAATGATCAATTTGTACTCTAGAAGAAGCTTCGAGCTTCATCTTTTATCAAATATTGACATATTTTGATCGATCGATTGGTTTCTTGATTATCAATTTTCTTCTTGATTGATTTATTTAATTATTTGACTCGAATGGTTTTTTTTAATATGATTGTAATTGATTGTTCAATATTCATGTTCATTGAATCAAACAACTGAAATTGATCATTACAACTTGTGAGAACCAATTGGCAAACATAAACAAAAGTACAAATCGATGGTGAGACAATTTGAATAGTTAATCGAAATTACAAAGTACTTGAACTAAACGTAGTTTGGAATTACAAAGTACTATCCTTTCCATCTTGTTCAACTGACTCGCTCGGCTGGCCACCCTTTTGAAAAGGTCCAAAGAAATAAAGACCTATCAGATTAATGACCAACGTGTTGAACTGTATAATCAACTACTTACATCTTGTTGTCTGGCGCGAAATCTCTCCATGACTTGTTTGCGCCGGGCGCGCAAGTACTCCATTTGGATTTCATCGAAGTCTTCCGGCGGGGTTTGAAACATGAGCTTGTCGTCCGCAGCCTGAGCTGAGGCTGCAACAGCTTCTTGTGCAATTTGCACCTTGGCTGCAGAAGTGCTAGCCAGCAACGTGATTGCTGCGGCTATCTCATCGCCGGCCCCACTCGAAGTTGATTCCTTCTGATCTAATTTAGCCGCTTTTGCCTTTTTGCGACCAATTGGTCGCTTTGGCGGTTCGGGTTCAGTGGAGTCGATAACGATAGAAGAAGACATGGAAGGAGTAGGTGTCGCAGTCGCCGGATCAGAGCTCGGTATGTTGTTAGAAGCTGGTGGTGCGGGTTTTCGTTTGATTGATTCTTTTGTTTTGTTTTTCATTTGATCGCAGTTCATTGTCCACTTTTGATGGACCCGAAGAACAGCCCAGCAGTGCTCAAGACCAAAGTGTTTCTTGTCGTTTGAAGCCGAGAAAATCTTGTGAGCAATCTCAAGCTAAAAGATAGAAAACAAAACAATTCAGATCGAATCCTTGACCTCAAAGATCAAGTACAGCACATACCAGATCAAGCTGTACACGACCAGTGAAGTGGGTGGATGTCGCTTGATCGAAAGCAGCACAGAATTTGCTGACGTCGTGTGATATCACAGCCCAACGCCGTTCGCAAGCGGTCTGATTTCGAACAGAGTCGATTTCTTCCTTGAAGTAGCTGTGAATTCGGCCCCAGTAAGTGTTTCTCTTTTGTGAATCTCCGGTATCAGGATCGATTGAGGTTGCTGCCCAAGCCTTGCAAAGAGCAATGTCTTCTTCGGAAGACCAATTCTTCTTAGTGAATTGCTTTTCGTTGGTTGCGGTAGAAGTTCCCAAGTCAGAAGGTTTTTCAACCAATCTTGTGGATTCAGCTATACATGGATCAAGTGGAACTGAATCAAATGGGAAGATGGAAGATTCGTGAAGTGGATCCATTGAAACCAGAGGGTATAAATCGGGAAAAGGGAATATTGACGATGCTCAAGCTCAAAGTTCGAAGATTTCTTGTGGAAATCTGGATGCATGGCCTTCTGTATTGCTCACGTGAGAGCAGTGGCACGTGATCTCGAGAGCCCCCATAGACCTCGCAGATGTGGAGGGCCCGGATGGAAATCTGGAGGCCCTCGATGGCTCACCCCCGATTTTGCGAGGTCCGTTGCGGCACTTTTTGGCTATTTGACCCCCTACATCCTCGAGGGCCCGCAAAATACGAGGACCGTTGTGGATGCTCTAAGTCCCTCGCTGGGGCTCGGGCCTTTGGCGAGGGACTTTGTTAAGTTTGGAGAGAAGGTGGCCTGCTGAGCTGCTGTTTATGCTTTGAGCAACTGATCGGGATCGTGATTTATATAGGCAAAGGACTGTTACAGCTTGGGGAATCACAGAAAGCACAGGTGAGAATTTTGCGTGAACGGTTCAACGGTGACACTGATCTACATATCACAGCATATGCTCAACTTTCACCTCAAATTTAAGATGTCATGGTGGATCCTCATGGGTCACTCTAGCAGGGTCAGTGATAAAGTTCACGAATGCAAGTGACCAGCTCTCGATTTTACCCAACTCCAGGAGAGCCATCTGCTTGTAATTCGAGATTCTCTGAAAGCACTTGGGGCAAGATCAACTTGTGGCAGCTCTTTCAAATCCCATCATCTCAAAATCTTTATTGATGACAAAGACGGGTCGCGGTGACCACTGTTCTGCAGAGTCATGGCAAGCTTCTTCGTTGGCAAAGTGAAGACCAGAGTTGTGTTATGGAGGTTGAATGAATGGGGCTAGAGTTTTTCATTCCGTTTTGAGCGTATAACAAGTCTTGAAGTAGAGTAAAGTAACAAGACAAAATCGACTGAATGGTTGATTTGAAGACATTTTAAACGTCATTCTAAATTGATTTCCCTTCGTATTGAAGTATTCGCATGCAATATTTGCTAGATAATTATCCCCTGATGATCCTTAGGCCCAGATACGTTTATCTCTTTGACCATTTCATGTACGTCTTCGAGTTAAAAACTCAGACTGCCATTCCTCTTCACTGCTGCGAACAGCCTGGCTCATTACGAGTCGATTTGGAGAATGCCTTGTGATTATGATTTGTTTTCTTGGGCTAAAGGCGAGTGTTGTGAATCTTTAGCTTCCTTCTTCCTTTTCAGATTCCTATAATTAAAGATTTCTGAATCTGATGAGTCGATGACAGGTTGGGTTGTAGTTGGTGTACTGGTCGAAGGATTCAGAGATAATCTTTTCCTAGGCAATACTACCTTCAAATTTAAAGGATCTGGTCGAAGTGGACGTTGAAAAGGACCTGAAACTGATTCGCCGCCGATTTTTAAAGAATTGATGGCCGTCTCCATTCCAACACAACTCTCTACCGGTACCCCATATGCTCGTATTAACAACTCGGTTGTATCAAAGGCGTAGGTAAATGGTATTGCCGCATCTGTAAGGTACTACTAGCGCACAATATCTGTTAGTTGACACTTTCAAATTTCACAAGATCCAACACTCACCCAATCCCAAGAGCCAGATCGAAGGACCTGTAGTTTTAGATCCCACGACGACAAACAATCGGAAGCGTGTAGCTCTAATGCCCTACTTTCAATCAAGGCGTATCGAGGGAAATCAAAAGCTACTACTGGTATGTTCAAAGATTCACCCGCCTAGAGCGATCAAGAAATGTAATCAGAGTTATCAATCAAGGAATTCAAAGAGTTGCAAGAGCTACAATCTCACCTTCAGCCAAACTCGAAGTGTCAACTCGTGTACGCCAGGCTTATCCTCAGCCTTTTGTATACGCTGTAGAGTATTGTTATGAATGTCATGCAGTGTGACCTCATGCGCCACACTTTCGTCTGCTCGGTCCTCCATTGTTTGATGGTCCGCTTAATCAATGATGCGGTGAAACGGTCGACTCGATCCAATGGTGGTCGTTTGGTGAGAGAGGATGGGGTGCTCTCTATGAATTTGAGCAACTACAAGTCTGAGACTATCACAGTTTGGAGAATCACAGACAGAAAACATTGGGGTAAAAATTTGATCACATGTGACACTGATCAACATATCTCACCGTATAACTCAACTTTTAGATTTATGTACTGAAGCTAGGTTATCAAATGCAAGGGAGCAGCTCTGAACACTCCCAAACTTCAGGATAATCATCCTGCTGTTAATCTGATGGGTTTGAGATTTTCCAAAAATACTTGGGGCAAGATCAACTGGTACCAGTAGCTATGTACTGGCTTGAGTAAAGACCCTTCACAGATCAATACAATTGACGCTGATGGTCAAACACCACTTCACAATGCTTGCTCGAGCGGTAGCATTTCATCTTGTCTTTGAATCAGGTCATGGTGAGGTAGCTTGTGTGCTGATTGAAGCGGGTTTAGATACTGGTTGATTAGACTTGGAGGGCTGTTAACTTAACCTGATGAGGTGGCAGATGTATTGGGTGATGTAGTCCACTTGAGGCTGAGGCAATATATCAAAGCTTGTTGTGGAAAGTATGAATGAAAAGATTGTGTGCTTCTGAATATCAAACTTATTATGTTTCACTAAAGAGGCCTTCAAATGTATCTCAAACTTGTTATTGATGGCAAAGACATATTGTTGTAAGTATTGTTCTGCAGAGTCATGCTAATCATCCCAAGTGAAGACATGAAGAGTCAGACATGCCTGAAAACTAACAGAGGTCAAATGCATCAGGCTAGATGTTTAGATATTGGTGACTGATGGATTTCATCATGATTTAATTGCATTTTGAAAAGTATAAAAAGTCTTGAAGGAGAATATTGAATTGAAAGAAAACTGATACAATGACAAGTTTGAAAATATCATGAAAGGAGTCTAAGTTTCAGAATTGACAAGACAAATTTGACCCAAGATTCCTGCTGAAGTGGCTTGCCAAAAAAACAATTTGTGACATCCAAGTTATGCCTGGATCAGATACAAAGTTTATGATACATCCTTCATGAGTAAGACAGAGAATGCCTTTCTTGCAATTTCTTGAAATCTTTGAGCACCACACCAGAATCTTGGTCAGCAATTACAATTCATAAATGATTCAAGGATTGCTTTGTCATCATGATTTCATCAAGAGTGAGAATTGTATAGTCAATATCACCAAGCTTGAATTCATTCTAAGCTTAACTTTCATTTGTCTGCAAGAGTTTGTGGCTGATGTATTGGTTGTAGTACTCTGTCAATTTTGGTTCCAAAGCCCTGTTGACACTCCCGGTGTAAAAGATCAACCAACAGCAACAATAGGATCTCTGCTGCATATTTTTAAAGAATTGATGATGGCTTCCATACCAACACAACTCTCTACTGGTACCCCATATGATTGTATCAAGAACTTGGTTGTATCAAGGGTCTATTAAAATGGTATGGCTGCATCTGAAATGTACTTATGGTGGATCATATGTTAGTTGCAATTCTGAAGCTCTGGATTATACAAGATCATATAATACTTACTCATTCCCAAGAGCCAGAACAAAGTCCTTGTAATTCAAGAACCCCTGAGTCTGACCCCAAAACTTTGGAAGAGTGATGCTCTGATGCTCTGCTTTCAGCCAAAGCATATTGAGGGAAATCAAAGGCTATCACTTGTATGTTTAAAGATTTGTCCGGCTGACATGATTTAGGGAAGATATTGTGAGTATTGACAAAACCATACTCAATTATAAAGAAAGAGGTGCAAGAGGTACATTAGGTGCCTTCAAACTAGGGAAAAGTTGAAATGTTGAAGCGAAAAATTGGGAACCGTGTAATTACAATACAAGCGATACAACGCTGTAGTGAAATCATAGTTTTCATTACACGCTTTTTTACTGCTTCAAAACTGTGAAGCCCTATGAGGGAGGCCCCCTCCAAATACAAAGTCTAACTTTGTGATTGCACTACAGCGTTGTATCGCTTGTATTGTAATTACACGGTTCCCAATTTTTCTGTTCAACTTTTCGTCTTTTCCCTAGTTTGAAGGCACCTATTCTCAACTTGAGCCACATCCAAGGTGTCAGCTCATGTACACCTTGCTTATTCTTAGCCTCCTGGATACAGTTTAAATTAGCCAAAATGATTTCTTGCAATGTGGGCTCATCAGAAAAATCTGGATGTGGTGGATTTTGCATATCCTGATGGTCTGTGGCTTGTAGATTGATGATGCAGTGAAATGTATGAGTAAATTCTGTAGTTCTTGTTCACTACAGGGAAGGTGGGCTGCTGTCTAGAATCTGAACAATTGATTGGGATTGTAGGCAAAAGATGCTTCTGTTAATCAGTGATGAGAATAGATATTTGTTTGGAGAATGAGGGGCAGCAATGTGATTCATCAAGTACCTACATACAGAAAACGGTTGGGAAGAAGAGAAAGTTCTGAGCTCAAATTTTTCATGTTGGGACTAGGGTTAAAACTCAAGTTAAGCAAAGGTATCATGCATAAATCCCCAAAGCCTGCTGGGGGATGGCTTTTGGAGTGGGCGGACGCAGGCGGAAGTTTGTAGTTGACGTTACTTTCCTCGTCGTGCGAGTCATGACTGCAGTCTGCGTTTTGCTTGAGAAATGATCGGTTGTTAAGAGCGGACCAATTCTCCAGTTAGTCACAAGTCAACTTTTTTGATGGACGGTCGGCTAAATTTGGCTCGATGAGAAAACTTTCAAGTCACCGAGTCTGAGATTTGGAACATTCAGAATCACGCTCCAAGTATGAAGGTCAAAAGCTGAGGATGAATTGCGAATCAAAACACATCCAAGAGGACATCATGCAAATGAAATCTATATGTATGCACATTATATTTGTCAGCCCGACAATCGAACAGAAAAAATTAGCGAAGGCCGGTTCCTAAAGTGCGTGATTTCTCTCGCGTGCGACGGTATCGATGCAATGAAGCCTCGAACCTTGGCACCAATGCCTCTACTGAAGAGAAGCTTGGCGTGGCTGCTCGCTGAACTTTTTGATGGGGAACAAAGCCAGGTGGGAGGGAAACAAGATATTTATACTTGGAGGGATACGGCCGAAATGTGGGTGATTTGCGCTGTCATAGTATGCTTATACAGAGTGGATGTACTGTAGTATGGCTTTGTGTACATACATGTACATTGTACACTACGCCAATGACAGCCCATGACTCAGACTCTGACGAGATCTATCATCTGGAGCTGACCTGTCACCTCATGAGTTCGTAGTCGAGAAGTGTTTGAGAGTAGCACCTGATTGCGATTACACACACTTTCTTATCTTGACGGGTGAAATCATTCCCGAGCCTGGTTGGGGCCTATGTATCTCGGCAGACTTTATTCTCGGCACGTTTTGAGCGTTCATTTATAGTGCCGCTGCCGACCCCTCCGAATAAGTTCTGATGTACATCTCTCGAATCCTGTTTGAGCTTATCAGAACGCGTCGTTCCGGACCAAAAAATGACAGACTGCCTTGAATTTTGAGGATTCTGTAATCGAAGCTCTCCTTCAACAATGCAAGACCGGAGACGTAGCCGAATTTGAAACTTTCGAGATAGCGAGTATAGCGTAGATGTTTCAGATTGTTTTTGCACGATTAGTTTCACCCTGTTTTACCGCTATCTTTGCTCGAGAAGTAGGAGGTAGGTAGCGCTTTTCCACGCAAGCTGCAAGCAGATAACTTGATTTCTTTTACTTATAAGACGAGCTCTTCCGTGTCACAGAGCGGCGCCAGCCCACTATCGTTAATAGAATAAGTTATCACTTAATACCTTCAGGGAGTACAACCAGTTTGCTCTAGAAATATCTTGGAAGTCGTACATTTCTGAACCCTTTTTACTCAAATCTCTTTACAAATCACGTTCATTAAGTCCTTGAGATCTGAAAAATCTTCATACTTGCTTAAAACATCATGTCCCGTTTGATAGCTATCGTCCTTACAATTTTATGCGCTTCAGTCATTTCTATAGCGGCATATCCAGGTCTTGGGAGGTATATGCCCCCAAGTGACCCAGACGACTACCTAGAAATTGCAAAGTATGCGACACAGAAGAAACCCCAAGAACCGATCCCTAAACCACCTTCTTCCAACCGACCTCAAGTCAACACAAACTTTAGAGTGAAGCTTGTCAATCATATTCCTTCAATGAAGTCTTCAGAGGTCACTCCCGCAAGTGAAATTATCAAACCTAGACCTATGTACAAGTAAGCTCACAACTTCAATTTAAAATATGCTCGAAGCATGTCTCTCGAACTAAATAGACCAAGATTTTCCGTACTGATTTTCATCTTTCATCATCTAAACAGTGTGCCAGCGGGGAGTCAATTTGAGTGAAGAGAAGATTTCACTCTTGATTTTATTTCCTCAGATTCCAATGCGCACAGCGTCATCACTGCATTTACTCATAGAATAATCCACATAGGAAGGATCCACACTACCATGCACATATTCTTTTCCCACATGATACAAGCAGCTCATGATGAGATGAAATCATAGGCTGAGTTGACTTGATGAAGACTTTTATGATACTGTTGATTGTTGTTCTTTTTAATTCTCAAACTCGGTTTCTTTTCATACCCTCATTATCTATACATTGAATTGTTTTTACTTTGATCAAGTGCGGCTTCATCATCCGGAACCTGGCGACCTTGAATTTTTATCGCATAAAGCAGGATTTCGGGGTACCATCTTGCAGCTATCATTATATTGATTGCAAATCTATCAGCGTTGACAGTGACTCACACTATAGAGTTTAGAAAATTCTTTCCATATGCAAAATCCAGTGAGAGTTTTCAGATTCTTACAATCCCAGAAAAGAAGACGCGAGACAAAGAGCGTTCTTAAAGTGCCATGTGGAATCTACATCATGTCACCCCAATCGTAACCCCACTCCGGGAGAGATGTTGATGTGTTCAAATGAACACCTGTTGAATGTCTCTTCAAAGATGAATTCGATATTGGAATTCACCATGTCTTGCTTAGCAAAAAATGACCTTTCATGGTCATTTGGACTCTGGAGGTCATGACTCCATGAGAGACAGCATCAGGTGCTCTGACCGTGGCGGTGGAAGCTCGGTACTAAATCTCATCGAGTTTCGGATAGTTTCGGATAGTTGATGTACAATTTCGAGTCACGCGGGTTCAAGTCATGATTACACCACGGGAGGACTTTTTGTCAGAAATCGGCCTGCCATTGGCTGAGATTGGCCTGAGCGAAAACCAGCCTACAGACCGACGGCAGGCCACCGAGAGGCGGCCTGCATTTGGCCATCCTCCCGGCGCGCAGATGTCATGTTGGTCGCATCGCAAAATGGCCTGAAGACCGCCTGCAGCCATTTTACAGGCGGCCTGTAGATAGGACGCATTGAGCGCGCAGACGCCGGCTCGCCAGCACGCAAGAAGGCCTGCAGACCGACTGCGAGCTATCCACACTCCGCCTGCAGTCGGTCTGACTTCCGGCGCGCAGACGCGTGATGGCCAGGTTGTTTTCGAGATGAGCCACCTGCCTGCAGGCGGTTTTCCGGTTTCCGGGGAATTCCGACCAGGGATCCGACTGCGTCCGAGTGCAGGCGGCCGGCCAATGCACCGCACGCGCATGTTGTTCACTGAGGACACTTCCAGATCAAATTAACATCATTGCAACCACCACCACCACCACATCATCAACTTCACAACCTTCAACTTTCTAGCACTGTTTCAATCATGAGTGATCTACCCCAGTGTAAGTCATATTTCAAGAAGATATCCATGAATTATGTAAAACTGTCACTCAACTCATCAGGCTTTGTGCCCCCTCAGTTATTGTTGAAAAAAACAAAGGTCCGTTAAGGTGGTATCAGTGTGAAGTGTGCCCACAAAGCCGGTCTATGAAGTTGTATGAATCTCATGTGGCTACAGCGGCCCACTTACGTTCGGCTGAGCAATTCCTGAAGAGACAAGCAGAAGACAGAGCTCTCCGTCTGCAGTATCTGGCCCCTATAAAGATACCCCCAACACCTTATGCCAATAACCTGGACCGCTATTTCGAAGACAATGAAAATCTTGCAACTTCGCCCACCTCGGCGGCCAACCCACCTTCTCCCCTTGCTCTCCTCCGCTTGTTTGGCCAAAAGGAGGACAATGGACATGATTCCGATAACTCTGACATGCAGCTTGACTTTCACAAGCTTCGGGATGCTTTTGAAGCACTGGAATCAGGCGTTGATGATCATGAAGATGAACATGCCTATGAGGAAGTGCTGGACCGTGAGCTTTCAGAAATTCGAACTGAAGAGGCTGCTGAATGGTTCCCCTTCAAAAAGAAAGAGGTAAGTAGCCACCTGTGTACACTGAAAAGCACCGAGTGTATTGGATGATACACGTGTAGCTATCATCCTATGTACTTCGAATGTCCCCCTTTAGAATTTCTTAGCAAGATAGATGGTCCTATGGTGACCTAGAGATCACCCTAAGTCACACTTCTACAAGGGGGGGGCCTTGGCCCCCCATACGCACCAAGTACAAATCTCACTACATAAGCACAAGATCTTACTACACAAGTAATAATCTCACTACCAAACCACTACATCTTACTACACGAGTAATAATGTCACTACCAAACCACCACATCTTACTACACAAGTAATAATCTTACTACACAAGTAATAATCTTACTACTCATGTAGAAATGTTACTACCACACCATCAGATCTGACTACACAAGCAATAATGCTACTACCCAAGTACCAGATCTTACTACCTATGTCAAAATCTGACTACCAAATCACCCGCTCTTACTACTTAAATGAACACCTTAATACC